TGTCTGAACCGACAGGCAGCGGATTGAGGGATTACTCTGGCCTTCACTCGACCAGTTAATTAGAGAGAAACTTAAGCATCCCGGTTTCTGAATAAAGTCATCACTGGGTCACTGGGTGGGACACGAGTGGGGTTTTCCACAAGAATTAGAGTGAGGTGGGAAAACAAGAGTTACACTGCATCTTGATGACACATGATGATCTTTAGTTTATGTTAAGATGCATGTCATGCATGTTTTATTTGTGATCCGTGGTGTTTTAATCTTTTGTTTACATTTTTTTTTTTTCATGTCGTCCATGTTTATAACAATCACAGAAAAAAACAATATTCATTAATGTTTACACATTTAAAAATCTGAAATGAAATAGTAATGAATGAATGGATGGATAGATGGACGGATGGATGGATGGATGGATGGATGGATGGATGGATGGATGGATGGACGGGTGACAGCATGATCAAATAAAAAGATGATAGAACATCAGAAATAGCCATAAAGCTATGATGAGGATGAGAATGAGACAGACAGAAAGACAGACAGACAGACAGACAGACAGACAGACAGACAGACAGACAGACAGACAGACAGACAGACAGACAGACAGACAGACAGACAGACAGACAGACAGACAGACAGACAGACAGACAGACAGACAGACAGACAGACAGACAGATAGATAGATAGATAGATAGATAGATAGATAGATAGATAGATAGATAGATAGATAGATAGATAGATAGATAGACCAATCAGTTCCAATATTCTAATGAGGGTGAAACATAATGAGGGTGAAACTCGTATTAACACACTAACCTATATGCATAGACCCTCAAACCTCCATTCTAACCCTAAATCCTGACCCAACCTAGCCCCAACCAACCCCTGACCCTAACCCCAACCAAACCCTTAACCTAACACTAACTCATGTACATTATCAGGAATAACTGCACAGACATGATTCAATAAAGAGGACTGACAATTTAGATAGATAGATAGATAGATAGATAGATAGATAGATAGATAGATAGATAGATAGATAGATAGATAGATAGATAGATAGATAGATAGATAGATAGATAGATAGATAGATAGATAGATAGATAGATAGATAGATATACAGCTTAAAGTGACATGTAATTTCTTCACCAGGTTAATTAGGTTAACTAGGCAGGTCAGGGTAATTAGTCAAGTTATTGTATAACGATAGTTTGTTCTGGAGACCAGAAAAATATTTAAAAAAAAAAAAAAAATATATATATATATATATATATATATATATATATATATATATATATATATATATATATATATATATATATATATATATATATTGCTTATAGGAGATAATTAGTGACCTTAAAATTAATTTTTAATTTTTTTTTTTTGAAACTGCTTTTATTACTGCCAAAATAAAACAAATAAGACTTTATCCAGAAGAAAAAAATATTATCAGACATACTGTGAACATTCATTTACATTCATTTACTCTGTTAAACATCATAGATAATAACATAGAGAAAACCGCAGTTTAGCGCCCCCTGTAATGTTTGAAACGGCTAACGTCATTGCACATTTTAGCCAGTTCGAACACAGATCATTATCACCCTAGGTACACTAGAGGGCGCCTCTTCATCTACGTATCTACAGGTAGATGGCATCAATTTATTTCTTATATGTGGGAAATAAAACATTAATAATATGTGTAACGACATGATTGACATTTATTTGTTGTTTAGGTTATAGGTCAAAGGTCATGTGTGTGTGATAGATATATAGATAGATAGATAGATAGATAGATAGATAGATAGATAGATAGATAGATAGATAGATAGATAGATAGATAGATAGATAGATAGATAGATAGATATACAGACAGACAGACAGACAGACAGACAGACAGATAGACAGACAGACAGACAGACAGACAGACAGACAGACAGACAGACAGACAGACAGACACTAAACAACCTTAGACTCTAAACCCTAACACTAAATAACCCTAAACGCTAAACTCTAACACTAAATAACCCTAAATCCTAAATCTTAACACTGTGTCCAAACTCAGTCCTGGAGGGCCGGTGTCCTGCATAGTCCCAACCCCAATTCAACATGCCTGAACCAGCTAATCAAGCTCTTGTTAGGTATACTAGAAACTTCCAGGCAGGTGTGTTGTAGGAAGTGACGGACGGATGGACGGATGGACGGGCAGACAGACAGACAGACAGACAGACAGACAGACAGACAGACGGACAGACAGACAGATAGAATGAAAGGATGATATAACATCAAAAAGAACTATGAGATGATGATTGGATGTATGGATGGATGAATTCATCCCTGCCTGTAAAGCAGCTCTTATAAATATACAATATTGTTTTTATTTAATTCATACATATCTTCAGTGACATTTAGTAGTTTTTTTTTTTCTTTCAATGTCCTTTTTGTCAATTTGTGACCCAGACAAGCTTTAAAGCAGCACCTAGAAGACCAGAAAAGGCATCTTGATCTCAGTGGAGGTGAATATCAGGCCTGCCTTTTGCTGTAAGTGACAAATTGGCCCCTGAGGAAATCATAGGTTGAGTAAATATAAGCAGAACTCGGCACCTTGCCAGTCCCAACAGAAACGTCTGCCCATTCGATCAGCACACTAAATTCAGACCATCCAGAATCCCTTGGGAAATCTGCATTCAACATTTTCTCACAAGGACACAGAGACAAATAAATCCTGCACAAATGACACTCTGGATTTATTCGGGCCTTCAGTTTAGGGACATTTTTAGGGCCTATTAGAAACGTGCATATCAGCCCATGTCAATGCAACATCCCTCCTCATTCAGATTTATGAACAGCATGATGTTTTATTCATTTTTTCAGAGGCTAAAAAAGCAAAGTGGCGCCTGCGATAAAACCCAGTCAATAATGTCTCTGTGTAAAAGAGAAAACTCATGATGAAGACATATCTATGACATGTAGGCCTACTATTTTGGTTCCCTCTCCCAAAGGAATTCATAACCATAATTAATAACTTTTCCTCGTGATCTCATTTTGGTGGTTAAAAACAAAGCAGGAGCCTGTCAACTTTATATTATATGTTGTTATAGACATGTAAACATAATTTCAAAGAGCTATTTGTATTATTACAACAGGACATTTTTGAGTAAACACCTTCCAAACTCCATGAGTTAAATCTAAAGTAACAGCGACATCTAGTGTTTGAATATCGAATGGCGCCAAAGTAAATCAGTCAGCATAAAATACATCAGGAAAATAAAATCTAAGCTTAAATCTTCTCGTATTTGACACGTTTTATAATAAACCTATTTCTAAATAGATAACGAGTGGTTTTAAGGTCGTAAACAAGCACCAGTGAACAGCCCATACACAAGAAATGTCTGCCTGTAAACAATCAAGTATTTGGTACTCACTCAATCTTCTCATCATTTCTGCGTAGTTTTAGTCGGTTTTGGTTTCGTTCTTCAGTCTTTGTCTTCATCAACCATCCATGAAAGCCTTGAAGGGTCACGTGACAACGTGTACATCTGTTTGTAGGTCTATATCTAGAATCAAACAAATGATAGACTTGTATGGGACTCAAACTAAGCGTTATTTCATTTTGAAAGAAATGACACACAATAATAAATATATATAAATTATTACAATTTTAAACTTGTTTAAATGATAATACTTCAAAGTTAACTGCCTATTATTAAATTCTTGTTTGCCATTTGCTTGTCATGCTAGGTAGCTGATGTAATCATCAACACGTGTGTAACGACGAGCGCCGATTAGCATCCATTAAAAGTCACCAAAACATGATGGTTGGCTGGTTTTAAAGGGGTTTTGGCCATTTCCAGCCTGGTCCTGGCTGGTCAGGCTGGAAGATGACCAACTAAAACCAGCCTAACCAGGCTGCGAGCCCAGCCAAAACCAGTTGTCCAACTTAAACCAGGCTGGTCAAGCTGGTTTCAGCTGGTCATTTTCCAGTCTGACCAGCTAAGACCAGGCTGGAAATGGCCAAAACCCCTTTAAAACCAGGCTGGTCGACCAGCTAAAACCAGCCAACCAGGCTGGTTTGCGCCATTTTTTTCAGCAGGGTTATGATGAAGAAACGTGCTGCTCATCTAATTTGCTGGATAAATTATTTTGAGGTTCTAACCCTTTTTTGTTGCATGCTTTTGGACTATGAATTGTGCAGTTTTCACCAGAAAATGAAGTTGTTTTAACCAATGTAAGAGTTGCCAGGAACAGTCTTCATACTTGGGCATGAAAGTTACACAACAGGAACTCACTGTACATCCAGAAACCTCATAACATGCTGATGCAACGCTGCAGCCACAAGAGAGCACAATTAATGCAATCCCCATGTCATACCATCATAAGATTCAACAATTTAAAGGGATAGTTCACTCAAAAAATTAATAATATGTTTGCTCTGATTTACTCTCAATCCATCTAAAAATGTTAGGGACTATTTCCTTTCAACAAAACATAACAAAATAGCTGAAACTGTGATGATTCATAAAAGCAACTTGGTATAACTAGAGGCAAAACAAAATCCCAAGGATACACTGGGGTGTTATGAAGCACATGATCTGACTGTGCAAAAACCTGAACTAAATCTAAGACGGCCTTAGTCACAGTAAATCAACAGCAATCATTTTTGGGTGTGCTATCCCTTTAAAAAAGCACCTAGAAATTAATACAGCATTGTTAGTCTAAAAGGAAATGCCAAAGGGCTTGCAATGATAGCAATAAACGGAAACTAAACTTTTTTTTTTTTCATACTTGCATGTTTTTTATTCTCTTTGGGGCATCTGTGATCCTTCGCCAGTCATAAGCACCAAAGATTAAGCGAGAGTAACATTCAGAGGGATGTTCAATTGCATGAGAGTTTTGAGTACCAGCATCCAACAGAGGGGAGCTGGCAAATGAATAATTGGCTGAAGGAGAGATCAAACCAATAAATGAATACCAGTACGGTCAATAACAACAGAAACAGGTGACATGGAAAGTTTTATGGGTGCCATTTGACTGAGTTTAAGCATTTCTCAGTCATTTAGCATCAGATATTTGACATAAATGTGATTATGCAGCTTTGGAGCAGTTACGTAAACATACACAGTGCATTGTAGTGAATACTGGTGATCTGAGCATGCAAAAAAATGCTTTCAATGATGCAAAAGCCTTCATTCAATAGGGTCTATTCCCAGATGTTTTGTTAGGGTCTCATTTAAATAAAAAACAGGATACAGCCTTCATTATATTAAGTGAACAACATCATCAGAGCGTTAAATTATCTGAAAAGTACATGGCATGTTTCCAATGCAAAAAAAAAATGCTTTTCTTGCTTGGTATTTTTGTCTAATTTTCCGATATTAATATGTAAACATCCATGATTCAAAATAGATTTATTTAAGATGTTGAATAACACGAGAAATGCCACTTCTGCTAGTTTGGCGGAAAGCATCAGCTTCGTTTTAGCACATTCTTCATTTAAAATTCAATTCCTTTTTGTGCAAATGTTTTGCCGCAATTTTGCTTATCAAGTAAAACTCCATTTTGATTTTAGAATGTTTAGACCAGTGTTTCTCAACCATGTTCCTGGAGGACCACCATCACTGTGTGTTTTGGATGTCTCCTTTGCCGGTCACACCCATAACATGTCTTTCAGTCAGTGCTAATGAGCTGATGATCTGTGTTTAATGAGGGAGACATGAAAAATGTGCAGTGCTAGTGGTCCTCCAGGAATGTGATTGAGGAACACTGGGACCAGGTTTGCCCAAACTCAGTCCTGGAGGGCCGGTGTCCTGCATATTTAAGCTCCAACCTCAATTAAACACAGCTGAACCGCCTAATAAAGTTCTTCCTAGCTATACTAGAATCTTCCAGCCAGATGTGTTGAAGAAAGTTGGGGCTAAACTATACAGGACCACCATCACTGCATGTTTTGGATGTCTCATTTGCCGGTCACACTCATTACAGGTCTTTCAGTCAGTGCTAATGAGCTGATAATCTGAATCAGGTGTGTTTAATGAGGGAGGCATTGAAAACGTGCAGTGCTAGTGGTCCTCCAGGAACGTGGTTGAGAAACACCAGGACCAGGATTGCCCATACTCAGTCCTGGAGGGCCGGTGTCCTGCATATTTAAGCTCCAACCCCAATTAAACACAGCTGAACCGCCTAATGAAGTTCTTCCTAGCTATACTAGAATCTTCCAGCCAGGTGTGTGTTGAAGGAAGTTGGAGCTAAACTGTGCAGGACCACCATCACTGCATGTTTTTAGATGTCTCCTTTGCCGGTCACACCCATTACAGGTCTTTTAGTCTGTGCTAATGGGCTGATGCTCTGAATCAAGTGTGTTTAATGAAGAGACATGGAACATGTGCAGTGCTAGTGGTCTTCCAGGAACCTGGTTGAGAAACACTGGTTTAGACCAGAGTTGCCCAAACTTGATCCAGGAGGGCCGGTGTCCTGCATATTTAAGCTCCAACTCATATTAAACACAGCTGAACAGGCTAATGAAGTTCTTCCTAGCTATACTAGAATCTTCCAGCCAGGTGTGTCAAAGGAAGTTGGAGCTAAACTGTGCAGGACAGCGGCCCTCCAGGACCAAGATTGGGCACATCTGGTTTAGACACATGTATTAGGCAAACAAGAACACCAAGAGTGAAAATCTTTTTTTTTTTTTTTTTTGCAGTGCTTAAGTATCTGGAAGCATATTAGACTTCAAAATGCATGTGCTTTCACAAGTCTGGAATTTAAACCCAAATGAAGAGGAACCCAATAAGTGCTCTTCTTTATTATTAGCAGTCTACAACTCATCACCGGCGTTTTGTGGTGTTTCCTACACGGTTCATGCTTCTGCTCATCTGTGGGAAGTGTACGTTTGGAGTTCTGGCTGTTGGGCCGTAGAGACCCAGGTTTCTTGCAGCCGTGGATTTTCGGGGTGTTTTGATGCAAGGGAATGGGGAGTAGATCTGCTGCTGTGCTTTTGGAGGATCTCCTGCTAATGATGAAGCACTTCTTCTCAGGGAGCTTCCACTTTCGGAGCTGGAGGAGTCGGAACCGGGACGGCGGCTGGATGTGAGCGGAGCCTGAGGTGGAGTGGTGGGATTGACATCTTGAATGGTGATATTGAGGTTTTGAATGCTGGAATTGGGATTTTGATCTGTGGGATTGGGATCTTGAATGGTGGGATTGGGATTTTGAATGGAGGAGTTGGGATTTTGAACAATGGTATTTGGATTTTGAATGGCGAGACTGGGATTTTGAACAGCAGAACTGGGACTTTGAACAATTGAATTGGGATTTTGAATGGTGAAACAGGAATCTTTAGTGGTGGGTTTGGATTCTTGAATGGTGGGACTGGGATTTTGAATGGTGGAATTGGGATTTTGAATGGTGAAACTGGGATCTTGAATGGTGGGATCAGGATCTGGAGTAGTGGGATTGGGATCTGCCTGTGGTTCTGGAGTAATAGTTGGATCTGATTGTGGGTCTGGATCCAAAGCTGGTTCTGGAGTTGACGGATCTGGTGAAGATTCCGGGTCCAGTTCTAGTGCAGACAGCTGTCTATCAATCTCCTGCAGTTCTTGCTTAGAAACATCTGAGCCTCCAGCTGCCGTGTTTTCAATTTTATCTTCGTCTGCTTCCTCGGATTTGGTCTCCTCTCCCTCCATAGATGCTCCTTCAGTTTTGCTTTCATCCGTCTGATCGTCTTCTGCCTCCAGAGAGTCATCAAAGCCGAGCTGAGCCCTCGCTCTTGCGATGTTCCTCCGGTGTGCTCGAACATGCGTGCGCCAGGGCGAATGATGTCTGGACCGAACCATCTGATCCAGAAGCGGCGTTGAGTGGGATTGAGGAGATCCACCGTTATGGATCATACCATTCTTTAAGGATCGTTCACAGGGTCTTGGTCTCCTGCCCAGGAGAAGGTGATTGACCACTGGGGATGGACCAATTTGGGAGGCAAGAACACTGGTGGCTGGACACTTATCTGTGAAGAACCAATAACACCCCCATGAGTAAATTTGTAGACCAACTTTGAGTTTGGCTTAATCCAATGTTTTTAGCATGAATTGCTAACATGAATAATCATGTCGTGAGAATGTTTTTAACATGAATTAGCATGTTGCTAGCATTAGTAAGCATAATGCAAGAATGTTTTAGCAAGAATTAACCCATTACTAGCATGAATTAGCATTTTGTTAGCATGAATTAGCATTATTATTTATATTATAATTAATTTCACAGTATAATAAACAATAAAATATATGGTTATGTAATTACACACACATTTTTATACATAAAACACATAGAACTTATGATTTCAATTGCCTTTCAATCATTTTTTTCTAGATGTGCCATTCTAAAATGGCAGATTTTAACATTTTAACAATTGAAAACAATAATAAAGAAGTTACAGTATGTCCCAAAACCCTGCAAAGCAGTCAAGATGCGGAAATATCGTCATTAATCAGTTGTTATTGCATTACACAGCTGCAGACCCAACACCACACCATATATCTTTAATAAAGCCACAGCTTAGTTGACCCATTAATTATTATGAGCTGACCTATATTATAGGTTGACCCATAAGTATCTGTACCAGTGTGGTAGATCTGCTGTTTACTGGATTGATGAGGTTCAATAGTTTCAGCTTCCACAGGAAGTCCTGAGAAAAATGTCACATTTGTCACACCTTTAAAAGAACAGCAGTGTCCTCAACGCAGCAAAAGTTATGATGACACAAAATAATAAAATTACTTTAAAATATTTATATTTTCTTCCAGCTGATTAACGATAAAAGCACTGACAGCCGAACAAAACACACCTAGCAAAATTATTTTAATAATTATTAACTATCATTAATGAAAAAGAAAATCATACTATAAATACATATATTTGTTGCAATGGTGCAAAACAGAACATCATCATGCATTGGTGTGGATGTTAATGTCGTTACCATTATGCTGTGTACACACCAGACGCAGAACGTGCAGATAAATAGTGGTATTCGCGCGTAAATAGCTCCGTGAACATTTGAGTTTACTCGCTTCATTCGATTCAATATTCGCTTCATTCGCACGTCAAATCCGCTTCATTCGCGCGTTCAGAACAGGCGCAGAATCACATGACGGGCAGGGCTTCTGTCTGACCGGTGACTCTAGCTTCGTTGCTAAATGGCTAACATGGATTTTATTAAGAAAATAACAGTGTTTTTGTGTTTTCTAAAGACTGAAAACAGCATCGATGCGTTTAGGGCCGTGTCTGAGTCCACTAGATCCTTTCAGAGGTGCATCCAGCTCTATGAGCTCATAAACTCCTCCTCCTCCATAAACGCGCAAAACGCTCAATTCGCGCCGCGCCATATCACGATATTCGCACGTATCGCGCCGCAGGATGTCTATTCGCACGTTTGCATTGACTTAACATGTAAATCACTCACGCTTGACGCCCCTTCCGCGTTTGGTGTGAACATAGCATTAGAGTTTTAAGACAAGCAAGCAAGTCATTTATACAGATAATTTTTATTTATTTATTTTTATTTACTGTTTTGATTTTTGTACATAAAAATTTTCAAATGTTATTAAATAAAATAAAAGATAAACAATACAATGCATGAAATAAAAATAAAATATGACAAAATACACAATTAAGGTAGAATTGAAATCTATGATATGATTAAATATTTTAAAAGCTATTATTCATTAATTTTCTTGTCGGCTTAGTCCCTTTATTAATTCGGGGTCGCCACAGCGTAATGAACTGCCAACTTATCCAGCACGTTTTTACGAAGCGGGTGCCCTTCCAGCCACAACCCCCCCCCCAAAAAAAAAGCTATTAAATACTGTATAATAAAACTAACATGTTAAAGATGTATTGCTATGTATAAAGATATATAGCAAAATACACAATGCAAATGTATTAAAAACATGCATTTATTTACTTTTATATATTGTTCATTAATTATTTTCTTCATTAGATTTTTTACAACTATTTTTAAATATAAAAAAATCAAGTCAAATGAACTTCTTTGTAAACCAGTGCATCTCCAATAGTTATTTTTATTACATCAATCAGACTTTAAGCTCGTTATATCAGCATGACGTTTGTACCTGTGTGAATGTAGAGCAGTCCGGCCTGCTGCTGTTGTTTCTGTTTAATACGCGAGTACTGTTTCTTCAGGGCGCTGATGTCAGTGCTCATGCGCTCCAGCATCATGCTGTTGATGGCAGCCTGGTGTTCGGCTCGTCCTGCGCCAACCGCCCCGGGACTGAGCTCTGCCATATTACTGCCATTACAGCTCTGCTCCGCTCTCTGATCTGCACATCCAAAAAAAAAAAACCTCCAGATGAAAATCAGTGTAAGACTAATGGACACTTTAACTGGGGAATTTGCATCAGATCATTTCTAAATCTTCCATTTATTCATTTGCACTGAAATTGAAGATTTCAACCAAGACCTTGCAGAATCTGCTGATATTATTTGGGTTATTTCTGTACAGAATTTTGTACAAAATCTCTGGATTTATGCAGAATGATTTTAAGAGTGTAGTAACTAAAAACTTAATTCCCCAGTAAAAGTGTCCAGTATTATTACACTGATTTTCATCGGAGGTGTTTTGTGTCGGATCATCTCCAAATCTTCCATTTATTCATGTGTACTGAAACTGAAGATTATAACCAGGACCAGACATAATCTGCATATGTTTTTAGCTATTTCTGTACAGAATTTTTGTACAAAATCTCTGGGGGATTTCTTATGGGGAATAATTTTGAGAGTACAGTTACTAAAACCCAAAAACATAACTTTTATTTAAAGGTTCACAATGCAAATTCAGTTAGAACCACTTGTTTGGTGAACAAAAGTAAGCCTCTCATGTAATATATCTACTTAAAGGCAGAAAATATTACTTTTGCAAGCTGTACTATAAATAAATTATACAAACATTTACATATTAGTCAATAGCATTACAAAAATTACTATTAAAACATTTACATTAGACATTTACATAAGCAAATAAATAGACTGGGCTAATTACTAAATATTAACTAAAGGATTTTTTTTTCATGTTTACATGTAATAATCAGGTCCCCGATGCATCTTCAATCCCAGAAAATGTGCAAAAGATTTATCCTGAAAGCCACAACATCAGCATAATTTATAAACACTAATATGTTATATATATATATATATATATATATATATATATATATATATATATATATATATATATATATATATATATATATATATATATATATATATATATAGCAGGGTTTACATTTTCTCACTTATTCTATTGTGTATTGAGTGTCAGAATAGTGTAAAGGCCCCGCCCTCTTCCACAGCTCATTTGCATGTAAAGGGACATACATGTACATAATAAAGGTGTTTTCATTTGCTCACACCAAAATAGAGGTAAATTTAAAGATATTATAATTGATTTGTGGAGTATTTTAAGACACTCGGACACTGGAGATTTATTTGACATGCCAAAATAAAAGGATCTTATCCTATTGTATCCTATAATATCCTATTGCATACTATTCATATATATATATATATATATATATATATATATATATATATATATTTATTTATTTATTTATTTATATTAATTCTGTACACCCTTAGTGCAAAACAGCACATCATCATGCATTAATGTGGATGCTAATGTAGTTACCATTATAATTTTTAGACATACACCAATATAAAATCCCACAACCAGTTATATTTATACACACAATTTTTAATTTATAACTGTTTTTTAAATGTTAATAAATGAAAAAAGCCAAAAATACAATGCATAAAATAAAATATTACAAATAAAATACACAATGAGTGTAGAATGTTAATCTATGATACTGAAACTTTATTATACAAGTTATTAAATATTTTATAACGAAACTAAAATAAATGTATAGTTACATATAATTCTATATATCGCAAAATATGCTATGCAAATGTATTCAAAATATATCTTTACAATAGTAAAAAGGGTATAATATGTCTCCTTTAAGAGCAGCTGGAGAAACTACCTTGAATAAAACAAGAGTTGACAAATGCATGGAGGATTAAATCCATCTGAGGGCCGATTCAGACAGGATTGTGGAGGATTTGCCAGGTTTACGTTGGCAGAGTGAGCGACATTGAGCTCATGTTTGCATTACAGCCTTACTTTGACAAGGCCAATGTGCTTTCAGCCAATATGGCATTAAGAAAGTCAAACATCTTTTTTGGTTTAGCAGGACATAAATCACAAGGCAGGAGTGATGTTTGTGACCTCATAGAATGATTTAGTACTATTATTTTCTATTAGCTTTTGGCTTATGAAATAAAATCAGACACAGACCTTTGAGGTGCCTTTGGTATCTTTGGATCTCAGGGGCCAGGAGGCCACCTAGTGGTCCCAGACAGCCCAGAGCGGTGACGATAGAGTCTTCATCATCCATGTCAGCATCATCATCACTCTCCCAACCATGGAGGGCCAGACTATAGTCAGGAAATAAAATGATTACGTATAAAATAAAATAAGGATGGAGGGATGAATTGATGGATGGATGGAACGATAGAAAGAACGATTGTCAGATGGATAGATAGAACAATAGATGGATAGAATTTTAGATGGAATGATAGACAGATAGACAGACAGACAGAAAAACAGATAGATAGATAGATAGATAGATAGATAGATAGATAGATAGATAGATAGATAGATAGATAGATAGATAGATAGATAGATAGATAGATAGATAGATAGATAGATAGAACCCTGGATGGATGGATGGATGGATGGATGGATGGATGGATGGATGGATGGATGGATGGATGGATGGATGGATGGATGGATGGATGGATGGATGGATGGACAGAAGGATAGACAGAATGATAGATGGATATAACCATAGCTAGAATGATGCATGGATGATGGATGGATGGATGGATGGATGGATGGAAAGAAAGATAGATGGATAGATAGAACGATAGATGGATAGAAACATAGATAGAAGGATGGATGGATGGGCAGAATGATAGATAGATGGATAGATAGAATGATAGATGGATAGAAACATAGATAGGACGATAGATGGATGGATGGATGGATGGATGGATGGATGGATGGATGGATGGATGGATGGATGGACGGACAGAATGGTAGATAGATGGATAGATAGAATGATAGATGGATAGAACTGTAGATAGAACGATGGATGGATGGATGGATGAATGGATGAATGGATGGATGGATGAATGGATGGAATGATGGATGGATGGAATAACAGAAAGATGGAAGGATGGATAGAACCGATGGATGGATGGATGGATCCATAGATTGAACCATGGATGGATGGATGGATGGATGGACAGAAGGACAGACAGAATGATAGATGGATAGAACCATAGCTAGAATGATGCATGGATAATGGATGGATGGATGGGTGGATGGATGGATGGAAAGAAAGATAGATGAATAAATAGAATGATAGATGGATAGAAACATAGATAGGACGATAGATGGATGGATGGATGGATGGATGGATGGATAAATGGATGGATAAATGGATGGATAAATGGATGGACGGACAGAATGGTAGATAGATGGATAGATAGAATGATAGATGGATAGAATTGTAGATAGAACGATGGATGGATGGATGAATGGATGGATGGATGGATGGATGGATAGATAGATCTCTGCATCTGTGCTGTGTCTGTTCATCCCTCGTACCTGCTGTTGGCTCTGACCGGCGCAGGGAACGGTGTGATGTTATAGGTGTATTTCTCCCTGAGCTCAGCCAGCTGTGGGAATGGGAACGGAGCCATGGAGTAAACCGTCTGTCAGCAAAAAAAAACAAAACAAAAACAAAGCAAGAGGATGAACAACTCGAAGAAGCTCATTGCATGTTCAAACACTCCATTCTGCAGCATTAGAGACATTATACTTGAATCATCTTCACAATAAGCCTCATATATGAATGAATTATTCATGCTTTTACCTGCATGAGTTCATTGGAGTCGATGAGCTTGTGTTCCAGCATTTCTTGCGTCAGGCAGCCCATAATACTGTAAAATTCATCTGCTGTCTGACACTCCTCAATACGCCTGACAAAGAGAAAGATCCAGAACATTTCATAAGCTGGACTTTAGTCATATTTAACATATGATCACGTTGTTTTCTGGAATACTAATACTAGTAAATCATGTTAGCAATGTGCTAAATAAGCACATCATTGTTCAGTTTACTTTAGGGATTTGATTCTAGTTGATTATACATAGCTGGATTACAGTTATCATTGCTATGAATGGGGGTTTTATTGAACCTACTCTCCCAGTTTGGCCCAAATGGCCAGAGCGACACGCAGCAGCATTTCTGATCCCTCAAAAAACACCGAATCCCAGATCTTCAGCACGGTGTGATGAGGCAAACACGTGGCAAACATGGTCAGAAACCACTGCATGGTGAAAACGTTGGTGAGTGGAGGCTCGTAGCTGCCTGAAACACAATAAGGTTTACATACTACAATCGCCTAAAAACACTGTTCATATTTATGTTTAATGCAGGGTTTCTACACACCTCCAGCTTCGCGATTGGCCACTTTTTGGAGGTGGTGAAGGTGCTGAGAAAGTTCTGGAAGCTTCAGCCGCAGCAGGTCTCTGAACACGGCCATGTCCACAGAGAGTGCTCGCAGATTATTGGCGAAATAACTGTCCGGAAGCACCTTGTCGATCAAATAGATCATCACCTGTACCACAATAATAGTCAATGGTTTATTATTGATAATGGCAAACTAAAATATAATAAATTAAAATTGTAAATAAAATACAAATTCTAATTTAATTAATGCAAAACAAAAATAAAACAAAATTAAAGCAAATAAAAATGCAAATAAAATAAATTAAAATTGCAATTAAAATGGTGTTGATAAAATATGGCATGAAATAAAAATGTCAAATTAAAGTACCATGTACTAAAAAGTATTGCAGTTTTTGTTTTAAATAACAGACATATATTGCGAACAATATAAATTATAGAAATAAAATGCAATTCTTCATAATTAATACAATTTGAAAATAAAATTACTTGAAAATAAAAAATAAATAAAATAAAAAAGGCAAATAAAAATAATATAAAATGCTTATTAAAATAAATATAAATGTTAATTAAATTAAGTAAAAATGTAAAAAAAAATAATAAAACGTTCTAACATAAAATAAAAATGCTAATAAAATTAATAATAAAATAAAATAAAAAAGGCAAAAAAAATTAAAAATAAAAATGCAAATAAAATACAATGCTAATTAAATTCAATAAAATGCTAATTAAATAATATAATAAAGCTAATTAAATTAAGTTAAAATGTAAAAACAAATTATAAAGTGCACTAAAATAAACTATGATAACAGAAATAATAATAATATTAAATAAAAAGGCAAACTAATTTAAAATAAAAATGCAAATTAAATTAAATGTGAAAAATTAAATAAAATGCAAATCAAATAATATAAAAATGCAACTTAAAAAAATGTTAACAAAACTGATAAATTAAATTAAATGCAAATTAAATTTAATGCAAAAATAAATAATATAAAAATGCTAATTAAATAAAATAAAAATGTAAAAAAAATCAGAAAATGCAATAAAACAAAATAAAAAAAATGCAATTACAAATGCAAATAAAAATAACAAAATAAAATAAAAATGCTAATAAAATAAAATAAAATAAAACGCTGTTTGATCATCTTTACCTTTAAAGCGTCTCCTTCATTGCCCTCAGTGACCTCCAGGATAAGTGCCGCCAGCACATTAAATCCCTGACAGTATCCTACAGTCTTGTTCCAGCGGGCATAAGCCAGCAGCACCCGCTTCAGCACCACCCGGTCCTGCTCCGCCTCCTGCCCACAGTAAGAGCTGCAGCCTGTCCGGTGCAGATCCTGGATGACAACAGAGCGTAAAGAACAGAACACTGGACTTTGATCACTACTACACACCTGCTAGAAACGCGCGCATGCATACGCACACACGCATCTGGCTACATTACACACTTATTGACAGACTGCAGTGAGCTAATATCCTGCTTCATTTATCTTTTATCAGACGGCGTCCAGTCCATTAAATATATCTGAACTTCAATTCTTAAAATCTAGACTGACACGGTTTCAATTTACTAGAACTTCTATGCTTTGACACTATCTACATTGTAGATGCGCTATAGAAATAAACATGAAACACAGTTTTTCCACGGTCCCACTTTAAATTAAGTGGCCTTAACTAATTTGTACTTACACAGGAATTAATAGTTTGTTACAATGTACTCATTGTGTAAATACATGTATTTATTGTGTACTTATGATTGATTAAATACCTGTATTTAATTGCATCTGTAATTAACTTCTGTAATTACATTTGTAAATACACTGCTGACCATTCCCTACACCTTAACCCACCCTTAAACCTACCCATGCCACCAAACCCGTCCATACAACACAAGAACACAAGTGTTCTCAAATACATTATGAACACGGTAAGTACATTGTATTTATTTTTGATGCAAGTAAATAGTAGTTAAGGACACTTAATATAAAATGGGACCTTTTCCACTTAAAAATAACCGTTTAAGGGAAAATATAACAACATGAAGTACCTTTACTATTTGTATTCCCAAAGAGTCATCGTCTGGATTGCTGCGGTCATTGAAGGCAAATCTCATGGTTTTCTCCCAGTCTATAGAGATGCTGTGAAGATACTGGTCAGCCAGGGTCAGCCAGACCTACATAAGAAAACAAACATAATGTAAGTGTTTACAATATCACAGCTAAGACACAGCCAAATACAGCTGAATTCACAATAATCAGCCCTCCTGTGAATTGTGTTTCTTTTTCAAATATTTCCCAAACAATAATTAATAAAGTAATTTTTCACAGTACTTCCTAAAATTTTTTCTTGTTTTATTTCGGCTAAAATAAAAAGCAGTTTCATTTGTTAAGATCATTATTATTAGCCCTTTTAAACCATATTTTTTTATGTCTACAGAACAAACCATCGTTATACAAAGACTTCCCTGACTCCCCTTTTACCTTTAAATGTCACTTTAAGCTGAATACTAGTGTTTTGAAAAATATCTAGTCAAATATTATTTACTGTCATCATGGCAAAGATAAAATAAATCAGTTATTAGAAATTAGTTATGAAAACTATCATGTTTAGAAATGTGTTGAATAAAATCTTCCGTTATTCAGTAATTGGGGAAAAAATATTCAAGGAGGGCTAATAAATGTAAATAAATAATTCTCTCTTACTCTTTTCCTCCACTCTTTGGGAATGCCGACCGGCAGTCTGGCCACTGCTTTCAGAGCGTCGTACCACTAGAAAACAAACACACACACACACACACACACACACACACACACACACACACACACACACAATCATCACACAACATAAAAAAGCACAACTGTTTGCTTTCTTGCTGTTCAAGGGATCAATACGTACTTGCTGAAAGCCGTTCTTGCCTAGAGAGGGTTCGATAGTGAACTTCAACCTGGTGTCCACTCCTGTAGCAAGACAAAAACAGTGGAGAATCAATATTAAAGACTATAAAAACATCTTTTGTGGAGCTGCAGATGTTGTAAGAAGATATTTCTGAGGAAAAATAATCAGCATTAATAGCAATAAAGCCACAATTTCAAGAAAGTCGCGATTATGAAGGCAAAAGCATATAAATTATACAAAAAATATCTAATTTAAAACACTTAATTATATTCTTAACTTGCCTAAAAACCTGTATTAGCTATAACAAGCTCGTCCTCGTTTAGCGGCGTCATTGCCCTGCTGAAAAATCCAGCTTAAACCAGCCTAGGCTGGTTGGCTGGTTTTAGCTGGTCAACCAGGCTGGTTTTAGAGGGGTTTTGGCCACTTCCTGGCTGGTATCCAGCCATTTCCAGCCTGGTCTTAGCTGGTCGGGCTGGGAGATGACCAGCTAAAACCAGCTTGACCAGCCTAGCCAAGCTGGGAGTCCAGCCAAAACCAGCTATATCCAGCTTAAACCAGGCTGGTCAAGCTGGTTTTAGCTGGATTTTGCTGGTCGTTTTCTGGCTGGAAATGGCTGGAAACCAGCCTGGAAATGGCCAAAACCCCTCTAAAACTAGGCTGGTCAACCAGCCAACCAGCCTAGGGTGGTTTAAGCTGGATTCTTCAGCAGGGTGTTTATCAAAGAATCAATTTTAATATAAAAAAATGAGGATATTGCTTTCATTCTATGATTCATTGTGAATGACAGAGAGGTTATCAAATTGTATACCAGGAATAAACACTAATAAAAGCAGCAGAAATGATCGGAAACGATAAATATAGCGTGTTATCGATCACAAGTAGAAACCAAACACGAGATATTGAACGGTTGATAAAAGCCGCTGTCCACTAAAAAGCGGTGCTGAAACTCACTTCCGCCTGGAGTTTCTTCCGTATACAAGACACCAATCTGACAATAACACGATTAAAACTCTGACTTTCAGCGTTTAGACATCATTTACACGATAAAGATGTTCGATTATAAAGGTTGGATCGGTTAAACTGAAGTAAGTTTCACATTAGCCACCGCTAAAGATGCTAACTGCTCTCGAACGCGAATGTAAACAAAGATCACTGACACGTCGGGGAAAACAGAAAGAAGCAACTTTTGGTGCATAAAAATGAGTAATAATGACCAACCTGAGTCCATCTGTGTTACTGTTTCATGCTATTAAAATGACAGACAGACCTAAAGTGAAGTTAGCAGCATTTCTGCGTGTGTTTGAGTCGTGAGGCAGGATCTGTTCCGGATTAACAACATGATCCTACCATCATCTCTCCTGCCCTCCTGCTGCACTCATTTACCATTACACACATGAAAAACATTGGCTTTTTATGACTTGCATAGTTATCAAAATGAAAATCTATAATTTTCTATATTAATCTATAATTAAATGCTATAAATATCATCATTTATTAGAACTAAAATGCACCTTGTGTATTTTCAGAAGCCTTCAAAACTATACTGTATTTTTAAATGTAAATACAATATTAAAACATATTCTAATAATATAGTTTTCTTATAATATTATTATATTCACTTATTATATTTTTAATAATTCTATTAATGTCTTAATATACATATTGTGTCAGTTAAGCTAAGCCTAAAGCCTTTAAATATATAGTAAGTAAAGCTTTTTTATAGCACCTTTCCCAGACATTGAGTCACAAAGTGCTTTACAATAAAAGATAACCAGAAAACAGGTATAAAAAAAATCAATAAATAAATAAAAACACATACCAATAAAATAAAACATTATAAAACAAGTTAAAATCCAAGTACAGAAACACTAATACTGTCGATTAAAAGCTTGATCAAAAATATGTGTCTTTAAGTCCAAAGATGGGTCTTTAAGCCTTAGTTTTGGGCTTAGTTTAACTGACACAATAGCTATATTGTGATACCAATAAAATAATTAAAGATAGGAACAGAGAAATTAGTTTAGGGGCATAGTAAAATATTAAAAATATAGTTAGGCTATCCTATATAGTAAAAATAGAGCACAAATAAAAAAATTAAATGAATTACACTTCTGAAAAAAAAGTGCATGTAAAACACCTGAGGAAAAAAAAACATTAAAAACATATTCAAGAAAATATAGGCCTACTTAAAATGATTCACTTAAAAAGGCATAGTTTACTATTTTTATTTAAAATATAATAAAACAAAAAAAATACCAAAAAACAAATCAAATACAAAATAATGTTCAGAGTAAATCTAAACAAAAGTTTATATAACAGGGCAAAAACAAGATAAATAGTAATTTGGGTTTTTTCCCATGTCTGAATGACAAGCAGTGGGCATTTGAGATGGATGGATAATATTAGATAGATTTAAATACTGTGTTAATATATATATACTGCGTGACAAAACAGGCCAGTTCACAATATAGTTCACAACATTTAATCACGCATATTAAATATTAAAACGACAGGCCTTCAAAGCTAATTACCACAAAGCGCAATTCTCCATTCAGCATCGATGCAAACAAACGCAAGAACCGGTTTTATCTATCTATCTAATATTTAATTAATGATGTCTTAATTATTATATCTAAAATATAAGGCATGCTGTATTCACCTGGCTCTAGTGTGCACAGCAGGCGCGGCGCTCTTCTAGAGATCCCATTGCGTTTCTTCAGCACATTACTGATAATATTACCGACTCCTCCAGCTGCATTCTGCCGCTTCACACAAACCCTCGACCTTTTAGAGGAAATAAACCTTTCCTGCTTCATCTAGAGACAAAACAGTGGTCCTTTGGGCCGCGCATTTACAAAGCCGAGCTCATACAAAAAAAATCCTCTCGTTCCGATCAATAAATCAGAGGAAAATAACGCGATCAAACATCCTTTATCATCTCATGCATATACGGATGTCTGTATCAAAAACATAAGAGTTATAAACGGCATAAAATAATGAAAGGTGACCGAAATTGATGCGGATGGATGGTGAGGCGGAACAGCGCGGTGATGCGCGAGTCTACACCCACACATGAGCGTCACATGCGGGCTAGAGCGGGAGGAGGGACCGCTGGAGCTCTGGAGGACGAGCCAGAGAGAAAGCAATTACCTGTGCCGGGTTGATAATTTCAGTGAGAAATAAGGAAATAAAAGTACTTTCCGGCTTATTTTTTAAGTTTAGAGGCTTAAAAAGTCTTTGTTAAAGCATTATACTGGACTTTAATTCACTATAATCTTCTATGTGAAGCTGCTTTGACACAATCTACATTGTAAAACTGCTAAAGAAATAAAGATGAACTGAATTTAATTGAATTATACACTAACAAATGACGTTTGCAGTTTGTTCAGACTACTAAAACAACAAGATATGATGGCTCACTATATATATTAATGTGAGTGAGGTGTTTTTTCTTCTGACATACATAACAATAATAATAAAAAATACAAATGAATGATAATCTGCAATTATGATGTTCACAAAAGCAAAAACCATCCATCAAAGCACACTTTCGGTATTATGACACTACTCAGTGACTGAAAAACACTGCAGTTTTGATGTGATTTTATACTGTACCTGTTTGTCAGTGCTTGACATGCAGCATGTTGAAATAAAAAATACATTAAAAGCAAGGCCACACTCAAATCTACCACAGAAATGCACGGCACAGCAATACGATAACATCCAGAAGTGTAAATAAACGACTGCTACAACATGACGCTGCTGTAGTTTGCATGTTAGAGTCATAAACTGACATGAATGAGCGGCTGGATTCTCTCTCTGCACGTGTGTTTTTAATCTAATGCAAATGATGCAGTTGTAAAGGTGTAAGGAGGGAACGCGAATGTAGAAATGAGATATTTGAGATTAATGTCTTCAATTAGGCCCACATCAACAGAGGGAACTAAATTAAGGTAAATTAGAGATGCATTTGATACACTGTAAAACAAAAAAATCTGCATTTCAAGTGTTTTCCTTTAATTTACAGTTGTGAATTGCATTATGGGATGTTGATCTCTGCTCTGTTGACTTTTGATGTTGAAAATTTGACACCACAGTTTAACATAGTGACTTTTATATACATTTTAGTAGTTTAATAATATAATGTATAAGAAATAATATAGAGAACAGTCTGTAAAACAACAGAAAATGTACTAGCAGTTTATTAAAAGGTTTTTGTAGCGTATACAACACCAACCCAGACAATACATCACTGCAAACTATTAACAATGTTTATAAAAGTCACTATTTTTTTAAACTTCTCAAGGTTAAAAGTTGCTGGAAGAAAGATCAAGATGCCATAATGCAAACCCAAAACAGAAATAAACAGGAGGAAAAAAAATAAAATAAAAACATGAATTACAATATACGGATGTGTTTTACAGTGTAGTTGTCCAGGTTCATTATTACAATAATATAAATATAATAATAATATAATAATACAACAAATTGGTCGAATGTTCCCTCCTGTGTCGACCCCTGATAAACAGGAAATGAGCCAAACCAAAGTGACTGAGTATATATAATTTAAAAATTATATAATACACAAAACTACGCTATTTTGTTGGTTGGATTTAAAAAAAAAAATGAAAATAAAATAAATATTTCTCATTTCCATGTAGTTTACCTTGACATAATAATAACTCAAACTACAATAAAAATGTATAAAATGTATATTGACATGCATAAACAAAACAATTGACTAAACTGAAGAAAATTCTGGAATAAAATAGTTTTCAAGGTTGTAAATTAGGAGTACAGGGTAAGATTTACTTGAAACGTCTTGTGAAATAAACAAAGCAATAGCAATTTCATAGGGAAAAGACAGACAGGTGGATGGACGGACAGATGCACAGACAGACAGACAGACAGACAGACAGACAGACAGATAGACAGATAGACAGATAGACAGATAGATAGATAGATAGATAGATAGATAGATAGATAGATAGATAGATAGATAGATAGATAGATAGATAGATAGATAGATAGATAGATAGATGGACAGACACAAATAGATAGATAGATAGATAGATAGATAGATAGATAGATAGATAGATAGATAGATAGATAGATAGATAGATAGATAGATAGATAGATAGATAGATAGATAGATAGATAGATAGATAGATAGATAGATAGATAGATAGATAGATAGATAGATAGATAGATAGATAGATAGATAGATAGATAGATAGATGGACAGACACAAATAGATAGATAGATAGATAGATAGATAGATAGATAGATAGATAGATAGATAGATAGATAGATAGATAGATAGATAGATAGATAGATAGATAGATAGATAGATAGATAGATAGATAGAAAAAAGGAATATACTAAAATATTGAAATCATTAAAACATAATGCAAAATCATCATAAAAAAATTCCAAAAATCATAAAAACATAATTTCTTTATGGTTTAAAATCATTGAAATGGAAAAGAGGAAAATAAAAACTATTAATAAAAGACAGAAACAGAATCTCAATATCATGAAAACATCCTCAGTCTTTCTGCATGCTATTTTATATTATATTATATGCTATTATATTATATTCATTCATTTTCCTGTGGGTTAGCCACTTATTTATCAGAGGTCGCCACAGTGGAATGACCTGCCAACTGTTCCAGCATAATGTTTCCACTGTAGATGCCCTTTCAGCCGCAACCCAGTACCGGAACATAGTATTATATTATATTATATTATATTATATTATATTATATTATATTATATTATATTATATTATGAGGAAAGAGAGCGAGAGAATTTTGGGTTTATTGCCATGTCATTGCAAAAAAAAGTTTACCACATTTTATAACATTCAACTATAATTTAAAAAAATAATCTAACAATTAAAAGTCATCAACAGCAATAAATTCACAAGATAAAAATACATAAATAATAATAATGATAATATACTGTACCAGATAAAAATCTAAAACTGTTTAAGGTTTACTTTTGATAAAAATTTTTTTTATAATTTTAAAAGAATTCACATTTAAAAATATTTAATTTAAAGTCTCTCCATATATTATGCGGACAGTAGACATTAATGAAATCTGAGATCTACTTTCGACCTACAATGGATTAATCTAGAAAAAGCAAAGAAGACCATGTGGGTAATTTAACCCTGAGCAAATGCAATGAAAGAACGCTCTGTAATTACGTCTTTTCTGCGAGACGGCTTGCAGGCAGGCGGTCACGATATCGCAGTTCTTCTGGAACTTCTGCCGGAGTCGATCTTTCCTTTTGGCCTGCCGCACTAGTTTAGCCGACTGTACAGCGATGCGGTATTTCACCTCCTGGACAATCCACTTCAGCTCTTCTGGACCTGAAAACAACATCAAGACTGCTGAAGCTGAACCCCATTTTACAAAATAAAAGATAATTCATTCGATATTAAAGGTTTAATGAAGAACTTTTAACTTCAAAGTATTTTTTTCACTACATAAAAAGCTAATTTGTGTCTTATTTACATCAAGGAGAGACACTGCAGGTTAAAGCACCATTTATCATGCGCCTTTCAGACTTGAGATTTTTTGTGGGGGGTTTTTTACATCCAAAATACATCAAGTCTGTCTTTGCTCAGTTTATTAATTGTGTTTGTAGATTTGAATTACAATGATTTTATTCTTAACATAAATTTTTTGTTTTATTCAGTCTATATTTATTTATTCTCTATTTTGAATATTTTTAACAGATGGATATGTTCCATAAATTACCTGTTAAAATTGATTTTGCTCTTTAAAAAAATACTATTTATTTCTGTTTGTGATATTATCGTAATTATGGACAACTCGGACACAAATATGTTCAAACGAAATAAAAAATAATAAAAATAATTTTGAACCTGACTTCATCCAATGTTCAGATGCAAGAAATGTATTAAATTATCAAATTTAAAGATGACATTCTAGAAAACCTGCAATACAAAAAATATTTGCAATGCTTTACATACTGTAATCAGTAAATTGGTGAAATATGGTAACTTATGAAATGTGGTAAATTTCTTTGCCTTAATCCATTGTGGAATGGTTCTTTTTTTTAGAACTGTTTACTTGTAGGTCTTAGGTGAACCAAAACAGTTCTTAAAAAATGTCAACAACAACAACAAAAAAGTATAATATCATATAAAAACTCATCTGGTTCTCCAAAGACCTTCAAGTGAACAGTTCTAAAAGAACCATTAGCTTGAAGATCTTTGAAAAATCAAATGAGTTCTTATATGACATCAAAAAAAAGAATGTTGTGGAATGGTTCTTTTTAGAAATGTTCAATTGAAGATCTTTATATTGGAGAACCAAACAAAGTTCTTATATGACGTCAAAAATGTTGTGGAATGGTTCTTTTTAGAAATGTTCAATTGAAGATCTTTATATTGGAGAACCAAACATAGTTCTTATTTGACATAAAAAAAATGTTGTGGAATGGTTCTTTTTAGAAATGTTCAATTGAAGATCTTTGGATTGGACAGCCAAACATAGTTCTTGACGTCAAATATGTTGTGGAATGGTTCTTTTTAGAACTGTTCACTTGAAAGTATCTGAAGAAGCAAAAATACTGTAGTTCTTATATGACATCATAAAAAAGAATGTTGTGGAATGGTTCTTTTTAGAAATGTTCAATTGAAGATCTTTGGATTGGAGAAACAAACATAGTTCTTATATGACATCAAAAATGTTGTAGAATGGTTCTTTTTAGAACTGTTCACTTGAAAGTATCTGGGAACCAAAAATACCGTAGTTCTTATGTGACATCATAAAAAAGAATCTTGTGGAATGGTTCTTTTTAGAACTGCTCACTTGAATGTCTTTGAAGAATCCAAAATAGTTCTTATATGGTAAAGGTCTTTGAAGAACAAAAAAAAACTGTTGTATATGACATCAAAAAAGGGATGTTGTGGAATGTTTTTTATTTTGTTGAAAGTTCACTTAAAGGTGTTTGGAGAACCAAAAAAAGTTCTTATATAACATAAAAAAAAGAGTGTTGTGGAATCCTTAATTTAGGAGTGTTATAATAATATAAGATAATGATGATTGACAGAACACTGTGTATACATGTAGAAGTCTATGAAGTCCACCGTATGTAAACTGTCATGATGGCCTGCAGAGAAGCTGAGCACCTGAGACAAGAGTTAAATTACATGAGCAAACAAAGGGTTAAGACTTAACTGGCTCTCGGGATTCAAGTGTGGTTCTTTTTTTTACGTTTACTACTAATTATATACCAAGTTTCAAAAAATCTTCAGTAACCAAAACAAGTTTCAACAGTGATAAATACTGTATATAATTAATAAATAAATAACAATTAAAAAACACACTTAATAAATGGCCACCAATAATCCCAAAACATCAAATCAGCACGTCATCACGTAACCCTGAAAACTAAAGTGATGACGCTGAGAAATAAATACACCTAAAATAGTAAAAAATACACTTTAAAGTACATTAAAATAGAAGGCAGTCCATTTAAATTCTAGAATAACAATATTGTGGCATGGCTTTGCAATAAAAACTATTTCTTATAATGGAGGTCAATGGGGCAAAAACAGCCCCAAACATAATGAAAGGGTAGTACATTTGGCCAGTGAATTGTTGAGGGTTTTTTTATGCCAAAGCATTATGCCAAAATATGTGTCAAAATAAGATGTTTCACCACAAATCATTTCCTTTGCTGAAACACAGAGAAAGTTGTGACCAAATCAAGACTCAAAAACACCCTTGAGTGGATGAAAACATTACCAACACCACACAGATGTTAATAAAATCCAACAGTGTTTCAATCCTCCTCACCTTTCTGAGCCAGATATTTGACCTGATGGCGCCTGGTGTGCTTCTCCTGGAGCTCCTGCAGAAAGCTAGAGCCGCTGTTGCTCCTGCCCAGAAAAGCGTCCGAGCTGGAGGCCTCAGTGGAGCTGTCCAAGCCTGGGACACCGTGACTGTACGTGTCATAAAGCTCCACCAGCAAACAATCCACCAAAGATGAAGCCCGGGAGTCTTTCAGCTCCTCTCGATCAAAATACAGACCTCCTTTCTCCTCCTCGTGAGCCTTCCTGGATGACGTTTTCTCACAGTCTCCATCCGACACCTTTGGGACATTGAGGTAAAGTCGGTTTTATATTCGTTCATTTTTGAACAACAAAAACTTGTGACATGCTCCCTATATAGTTTACCACGCTACTTTGAATATTTGTTCCGAAATCGCATGCAAGTATGACTTCAAAACAACATGAGCACTCTTATATTGACTGAATGTGCAAATATAAAATCTACTTTACCCCAAACTATTACAGTCCTTTGAATAATTTGGCAGGTAAATATGACTTCAAAACAACATTAGCTCTATCTGAATGACTGTGAACAATGCTGTACTTTGATAGTCATTGGTTGCTGATATAATTTCACCATTTAGAATTGGCAAACATTTCTGAAATTATATTGTTAAGGAGAGCCTCTGAATGTGCGAATATGGGCTAAAACCAACTTTACCTCAATTTATTACACTATTTTGAATATTTCCGCACATAAATGACTTCAAAACAACATTAGTACTATTTAATTGACTGTGAACAATGCTGTACTTTGATAGTCATTGGCTGCTAATAAGATTTCACTATATTTAGAATTGGGGAAACAACAGTTTTCTGAAATTATATTAGGTTATTAAGCAGAAACTCTGAATATGTGAATATAAAACCAACTTTACCTCAATTTATTACAGTACTTTGAATATTTAGGCACGTAAATATAACTTTAAAACAAAATAAGCTCTTTAAATGACTTTGAAAAATGCTGTACTGATGCTGCTAATATGATTTATCTATTTAGAACAACACATTTCTGAAATTATATTGTTAAGGAGAGACTCTGAATGTGCGAATATGGGTTAAAACCAACTTTACCTCAATTTATTACACTATTATCAATATTTCTGTCAGAAATCACATGCAAGTATAACATCAAACCAACTTTACCTCATTTTATTACACTATTTTGAATATTTTGGCATGTAAAATGACTTCAAAACAACAATAGTACTATTTAATTGACTGTAAACTAAATGTATTGGCTGCCAATATAATTTCACTATATTTAGAATTGGGAAACAATACTTTTCTGAAATTATATGAGGCTATTAAGCAGAAACTCTGAATGTGCGCATAGAAAACCAACTTTACCTCAATTCATTACAGTACTTTGATTATTTAGGCATGTAAATATAACTTTAAAACAAAATATGCTCTATCTAAATGACTGTAAACAATGTTGTACTGATGCTGCTAATATTATTGATATTTAGAATTGGCAAACAACACATTTCTGAAATTATATTGTTAAGGAGAGCCTCTGAATATGCGAAAATGGGCTAAAACCAACTTTACCCCAATTTATTACACTATTTTGAATATTTTGGCATGTAAATATGACTTAAAAACAACAAGAGTAGTATTTAATTGACTGTAAACGAAATGTATTGGCTGCCAATATAATTTCACTATATTTAGAATTGGGAAACAATACTTTTCTGAAATTATATTAGGCCATTAAGCAGAAACTCTGAATGTGCGCATAGAAAACCAACTTTACCTCAAATCATTACAGTACTTTGATTATTTAGGCATGTAAATATAACTTTAAAACAAAATAAGCTCTATCTAAATGAATGCAATGTTGTACTGATGCTGCTAATATTATTGATATTTAGAATTGGCAAACAACAAATTTCTGAAAATATATTGTTAAGGAGAGCCTCTGAATATGCGAAAATGGGCTAAAACCAACTGTACCCCAATTTATTACACTATTTTGAATATTTTGGCATGTAAATATGACTTAAAAACAACAAGAGTAGTATTTAATTGACTGTAAACGAAATGTATTGGCTGCCAATATAATTTCACTATATTTAGAATTGGGAAACAATACTTTTCTGAAATTATATTAGGCCATTAAGCAGAAACTCTGAATGTGCGCATAGAAAACCAACTTTACCTCAAATCATTACAGTACTTTGATTATTTAGGCATGTAAATATAACTTTAAAACAAAATAAGCTCTATCTAAATGAATGCAATGTTGTACTGATGCTGCTAATATTATTGATATTTAGAATTGGCAAACAACAAATTTCTGAAAATATATTGTTAAGGAGAGCCTCTGAATATGCGAAAATGGGCTAAAACCAACTGTACCCCAATTTATTACACTATTTTCAATATTTCGGTCAGAAATCACATGCAAGTATAACATCAAACCAACTGTACCTCAATTTATGACATTATTTAGGGTAAGGAAGGTAAAACTTTATTGTCCCAGTTAGGGAAATTTGTCTTGGGCTCTTGCCCCCAGCTGCAGTCATCACAAACATGGACAAAACAATGCAACATACAAAACACAAATAGATAGTTCAATAAAAGTTACAAGCCTCACTCCATAAACACATAAATAAGCAAACTAAATTCTCTCAATCTAATCTCAGCCACCACTATTATTTAATAGCTTAATGCTCGTAGGATAAAAATAATTTTTATACTGTTTATTTATGAAATTTTGAATATTTCGGCATGTAAAAATGACTTCAAAACAACAAGAGTACTAGTTAATTGACTGTAAAAGCAATGTATTGGCTGCTAATATAATTTCACTATATTTAGAATTGGGAAACAACAGTTTTCTGAAATTATATGAGGCTATTAAGCAGAAACTCTGAATATGTGAATATAAAACCAACTTTACCTCAATTTATTACAGTACTTTAAATATTTAGGCACATAAATATGACTTCAAAACAACATTAGCACTATTTAAATGACTGCAATGTTACATTGATAGTCATTGGATGCTAAAATGATTTCCCTACTTACAATTAGCAAACAATACTTTACTGAAATGACATTATTAAGTAGAAAGTCTGAATGTGCGAGTATAAAAGGCAACTTTACCTCAATCTTTGAGACCCACTTATGAAACCCCGAAAAGCCGTCCAGGTAGGACGCACCTGCGCTGAGGAAAACTCCGCTCTCCTCCTCCGGGCAGATGTCACATATGTTCACCTCCTTCAGCTCCTCTTTCGCCACTTCCACCGCGGCTGACATGGTTTATTTCTCTTTAAAGTTCAGCATTACTTTGTGGTGAACGCATTGGGACTCCGCAAAGATTGTTTTAGGTGGATCAATAAGGAACTGGAGTTCCGGGTCTGTTCCATTTCTTGAGCCGCGGGTTGGCAGGGACTCAAACAGGCTGCGGTTTCCTTCCTGAAACGGGCTAAATCCTGATTGCACGCCCCTGCAGAGGGAATAGTTCAACCCACTGGCCGAAAAGTTTCCCTAAGAAAGTTTTCACAAACGACAGGTGCTGGAGAAATACGCAGTGTTTGTTTATTTATCCAACATAGGTTTTTAAACACAAAATATTTGGTTTAATTGTTTAAGAATGTACATAGTAAAAAATAAAACAGTGAAGTTCAATTCAATTCAAGTTTATTTGTATAGCGCGTTTCACAACAAATGTTGTTTCAGCTTTACACTCGGAAATATTATTATTATATCACATAATGTTATATTAGTTACCATAAGTTTATTAGTGACATTAGTTAGTTTATTAGTTCATCGAAAGCATGCTGGAATCCTTTATTTCTTCTGTATTATGGGCTTTAAACAATACATATTTAGCAAAGAAGAGTATCCGAGACGAAAAAAATTAATTATAAAATAGTATTTATTAACAAATAGGTATATACGAGATAAAATGTTTAATTTAATAGTTTATTCATCTATATATTTTTTTAATATTACAATAAAAATACAGTTGGCAGATTATGATATCTGAAATGTTAAAGTATGCAGATTTACAAGGTTTTTATTTAATTATGCTAATATTATTTCAAATACCATGTAGTTAATAAATTAGGATTATACAGCTTAAAACAACGAGTAAATACTCTATGAGTAATATAATATGACAGATTAAATACATTTTACGAATAAGGATATCTGCAATTAATATCTGTTTACTGTTTCAAATGGTAATAAACTGACTTATTGACTTACCAATAAACAAATTTTTTATATATTATTATTATACCCCTTCAAGTACAGCTGCTAACGGTAATTTTAGGAATGATGTCATTCCTGAGCGTAAACATCAGCTGACCGGGGCTTCCGCCTCTCCACATGACTTGAACAGGGATGTTTTGTTAATCCTACTATGGCGACGTGTCGCTTTGTTAATATTAATGACGCAAATCGTCAGTTACCCATCTGATTGGCTGTCTACAGTGGATGGGCGTTAGTTTGTCTTTTTCTTTATTTTTTATTGTGTTTAAACAATATAAACATAATAATCATAACAATTGATGACATCAAGTACAATAATAAAGTATACAAACAAACAAACATAATAAACAAGTAAAATCAATAATAATAATAATAATAATAATAATGTAATAAAAACAGAGTACAGAGGCAAATCATCAAATTAAATAATATTTACAAAGTCCTTATAAAATCTCACAGTCTTAACACTTTTTTTGCTGTAAACATTTTGTAAAGTGAGCGTTAGTTTTTTATTATTAACTTCACAAAACAGTATAATACAACTTAGAATACAGTAAAAGATAACAGTTCTTTTACACAATAATCAAATTAGATGCACAAGATAGAGCAAATCCAAAATACAACAAATAAAAAATTAAAAAAATATTTATTTTTTAAAAGTTAAAAGACATAATGCAATAAAAAAGATATAAATATTAAAGTAGCATGAAAAATCTCATCTTATTTGCTCAAGAAAGAAGCACATTTCTTATTTTCAATTAATCTAAGCGATTTAATTAAATGTTCTATTTCACATAGGAAGTCTATTAAGATTGGATTTTTTAAGGATCCTCTGTTTGTGGAAGTAAAATTTCCCAGCAAGTATAACAAAGTTCACAGTGGCTTCGTGGACGTTAGCTTTATTTTTTTTATTTTTTAAATGCAAGAACGATACATACAGAACAATGCTAGAGATATAAAAAAATGAAAAGTATATAAAAAATATATAGAGATACAAAACTCAATAAGTAAAACAAAATAATATAACAAAAGATTTTTTAAAAATATATTACAAATAAATAATGCTGGGCCTTGCTAACTCACAATAACTTAAAAGTGTCAAACAAATATACAGTTTTAACAGCTTTTTTGTTTGTAATCTCCTTAATGGTATTTATATAAATATTTAGTTCATTAATTACCACTAAAAACAGAGGTTTCTGATTGCTAAATTTACAACGAAGCATATGAAACTTGGTAAGCATAATCACAAGATTATTCACATAAGCTTCACTTTCCAACTTCTTATCGTATTTCCAAAAACTAAAATTAACATATTCATACAGTAAAAAAAAAAATTTGTTGGCCAACTAGCCAATCCCACAGTGACGAAGTCTTGGCTTATGAATATTAATGAGCCCACCGTGACTAGACGCCACAGAAAAGTAACGGTCAACGTCACGACGTCTAATTAATATTCATAACAAACAGAAGCGTCGCCATAGTACGATTCGTAATTTCGTACACTAGACAAGCTAGCTGCTCCAGCACAGGAGCTATTGCTAAAACAATATTTGATGCATTTATCGCAGGGGGAGATCCTCGTTTAGGTCATGGCTCCGTTTGTTTTTAATTCGGGATCAAACATGGTGTCAGCTCCGTTAGTGTTACTTCATTGTATTATTGTCATCTGCGTCACTTTGCATTGTGTCAATCTGGCCGCTGCTAAAACCAATCCCAAACCGAATATAGTTTTAATCCTGACCGATGATCTGGATGTGTCCATCGGCGGAATGGTGAGGATGTTTTCTGGAGGAAAACGATCTGATTGATCGCGATGTGTTCCATGTTATTTACTGTATATCTGTGAAGCAGATCTGCATCATCATCATCATCATCATCATCTTGCTATTTGTCGTTAAACAGATTCCTTTAGTCAAGACTAAAAAGCTGATAGGTGATGCTGGAATTACCTTTACAAATGCGGTGAGTACAAAATACAACTGGATCTGTTCAAAACAAGTGGTAAACTCCATAATGCATTCAACATCTGTATACGAGCTAAAATAATATGTATAGGAGCAGCATATATCACTGATATTATTAACAGACTGAATGCAGTTTATTTGAATTAATCATAATCTAACTAATGTTTGCTCGAAAACACTGCAAATTTGATTAAATTTAGGGTAAAGTTGGATTTATATTCGCACATTCGGACTTTCTCCTTCATATAAATTTAGAAAAGTGTTGTTTACAAAGTCTAAATAGAGAGCAATCTTATTAGCAGCCGATGACTGCCAAAATACAACACCATTCACATTCAATTAAATAGTGCTTATGTTGTTTTGATGTCATAATTGCATGCAATTTCAGACAGAAATATTCAAAGTAGCATGGTAAACAATATACAAACCTTGCACAAGTTGTTACTTTACCTCAGTTTTTATGAAACCAACACATTTATGCTCTTTTGTTTGACATAAACAATCTGAAATAATGTGGGTCCTGATACACTTGTAAAGTTTGGTTCATACACAAAAATTGAGCATTATTTATTTGTATTTATTTAGTTCCCTTTTACGGCCAACCCATTAGACAGCACATGATTACAGTATCTACAAAAACATCTTAAATTACAACATTAGAAAATTAAATAATAAATTAAAACAGTTCTAGCTTTTCTTCATCTGGCAAAAATGTAAACTAACCACGTTTAGCTACATATTTTCATCTTTAAAGTGAAAACGTTTGCCTGTTTTCTTCATAATACTTACTAGTGCTCATTTACTTACCTTTGGGTTGTTCCCTGCTTTATCAGGAGTGGCCACAGCAGAATGAACCGCCTACTAGTATTTGTTTAGGTGGCGTTTGTTATGTTTTGGGTGCAGTGTCTGTTCAAACTATTGTTTTTATAACCTAAAAGGTTTGCACAAGAGTTCATGTAAGCTGTGCAAACACTAAGCTTTGCATTAGTTAACAATAAACGTGTTCTGTTAACTGCATAAACGTAAAATGAAACTAAATTCTTAAGTTGCACGAGTATCTTTTAGGCAATAGACAAAAACATTTTCCTTTTTTGCCAAAAATCAATGTAGTATTAAGTAAAGCTCAGGTTCCAGAAATAAATAGAGTACATTTCCTACTGTAAACATACCAAAAGTGATATATTCGGTAGTCATCTGAAGTAAATCGGGTTTTTCAAACTTGTCCTGGGACGAGTGTCCTTGATGAAAGTTTTTAATCCACTTCAAATGTTACTTAACCCTTAGGGTTTCAGATAATTATATCTCTGCCAAATATTGTCGTTTCCTAACAAACCACACACCAATGAAAAGCTTATTTACATTCATCAGCTTTCATATGATGTACGAATCTCAATTTCTAAAAAGTGACGCACACTGTATGACTGCTACTATGCAAATAAATACATTAGGGCTGCACGATATTAGAAAAAAAACTGACATTGCAATATTTTCATTCACTGCAAAATATATTGTGATATGAATGCAAGTTCAGCAGATGACTTGAATAGCTTGTAAAGAATTCATATCATAATTTTAGATCAATTGTGTTGATTCTGCAGGGGAGCGTATCGGCATTAAATATCATTTAAAAAACAACAAGCAAAGTTAAATACAACAGAGAAAAGATGCAATAAACAATGATTTATGATCAGGTCAAACAGTATTCAGACGCAGAAATGAAATGATCATCATATAATAACATTAATAATAATAGTAACATTGTTTTAATCAATCTATAATCTACAATTAATCTATAAGCGACTTACATTTAATGTCCCCAAATGGCTTAAATTTGCTTAATTCTTACAGTCAGGTCTTAAAAACACATGCAAATAATAACTTTCACCCATGCAGACACGGGGAGAATATGCAAACTCCATACAGAAATGCCAACGGACCTTGCTGTGAGGCGACAGCGCTACACACTGCGCCACCCTAACTGTAATGTCTGGTCAAATATAATCCCAACTACACTGCAGATCCCTGCGATGTGATCAATGCCGACTCGCACATTGCTACTGAAACGATAGATGGTGCCGCCCTAAAATATACAAATATACTACAGAAACCATACTAAAGTGTGTTCTCAAAATAAAAACTAAACTAAGAAAATCATTAATAAAAGTTTACCACATGTTCTCCTAACTCTTCTCATCATGTCTCTTTCTCTCTCTCTGAAGTCAATTGAGGCTAATGGAAAATAGTTTTGTGATTTATGTTTTTATTTTCTTCCCTTGTTTATTTCTGATTTTAAATTGCATTATGGGATCTGAATATATTTTACCAGCAACTTTTACCCTTGAAAAGTTGGAAAAATTGACTTTTATGGGCATTTGTAATAGTTTAAAGTGATATATTGTCTGTGTTGGTGTTGTATAATACACTCAGAATTAAAGGTACGAGAGCTGACACTGGGGTGGTACCTTTTTAAAAGGAACACATTTGTACTTAAAGGGTTCTTATTGGTACCTCAAAAATATATATTACTACCTAACCATTTTAAGAGGAAAACCTTTGCACTTTTTAGGTACTAATATGTACCCTTAAGGTATTAATATGGACCTTTTAGATACTAATTTGTACCTTTTAAAAAGGTACCACCCCAGTGACAGCTCACGTACCTTTATTACTAAGACAGGGCTTCTGCAGGTTTCACTGAATTAAATTTAAGACTTTAAGACATTTTTAGACCATTATGAATTAAATTTTAGACCCATAAAGAGCTAAAGGCTAAGGAGTTTTTCAAATGGCCCAAATGGAAAAGAATTTTATTTGCCCAATCAAATAATAATAATAATAATAATTTAATACTTTTAATAATACAATAATAATAAAAATTTAAATATGTAAGATTTTATATATTAGTCAAATATTTTAAATATTGTTTAAAAACAAGCAAGCTCTACTTGTATCTGTACACTTTTCCAAGATAAACTTTCTGTAAAATAAAAAAGAACAAATGTTTTATAATAAACTAAATCTATGCACAACATTCTGTCCAGGTCCGGATCCTCAGCAGTAAATACATGAAGAACTGTTATTGTAAGGAAAATAATTAAACTATTATAATAAATAGAGTTAAAATTACCTTTTTTTAATAAAAAGTTTTAATGATTGTTGGTGATTGTATGGGTTTTTTGTCCAGATCTGGTAGCAATACATGAACAAGGGAAAATTAAGACTTGTTAAAAAAAAAGATTTAAGGCAACACAACACAATATACAGTAAATTTAAGACTTTTTAAGGCCTTAAATTTGGATTTTAAACTTTAAACTTTTGGATTTTAAACTTAAATTTTGACTTTTCAAGACCCTGCAGAAACCCTGCTAAGAGTGTAGTCTACAAAAAGCTTGTAATAAACTGTCAGTACATTTTCTGTTATTTTACAGACTTATTTCTTTTTTTAAATTCTTGTAAGACATGAATAAATAAGTCTTCTTTATTTTCATTAGCGTATATAAGAAGACCTAAAAGTTAAAGTCTCTTTCTTTCTCTCACCCAGTTTGTGGCCAGTCCTTTGTGCTGTCCCAGCAGGGCGAGTATCCTGACAGGTAAATACCCTCACAATCATCACGTGGTGAACAACACGCTGGAGGGAAACTGCAGCAGCACAGCATGGCAGAAGGGCCAGGAGCCCGACACTTTCCCAGCCTTCCTGCAGAAACACGCCGCATATCAGACCTTCTTCGCTGGGAAGTATCTGAATGAGGTGAATGAGATGCTGGAAAATCAGCATTATAGTCTCTAATCGCTGACTGGACATTATTACCTTCAAAAATCTGAACCATGTGTGTTTCTCTGCTTCAGTACGGCAGTAAAAAAGCTGGAGGAGTCGAGCACGTTCCTCTGGGCTGGGATCACTGGTTCGCCCTGGTAAGAAAACTGGGGGAAATATTCAGATGTACATTTTATTTGTATTATACAGAGTCATGCACAGTATGACATGCATTGAAATGCTTACACAACCCTCCGTGATCTTAAAATAACAACAATAATAATAATTGATTGTTTTTTTGTTTTGTTTAGTTTTTAAAACATGCACATCCTTTTATTTTTTATATTTTGTTAATGCAGCAAGGTTATTGTTCTTAAATAAAACTGTGATTGTATTTCAATATTTACAGACTGAAAATAAATATACATGTATATGGTAAATAATAACAATTACAATAAAAATTACGGACACAGAAATAAAAGCAAATATAAAATATTTAAAGACTCTTAAAATAGAGTATGTGGCGGAAAAGTTAAAAATGTAAAAGATCTGTCTGCGTGCAAACAGGAACATAGACGTGTTTCTAGTAAAAAAGAAAAACAAGAGCATGTATAGTATATGTGCAAGTAACATTTAAGAATGTATTTCACTAAGCTCACTATTTCATATAAAAAATAACCTAAATCTGTCTGTAATAGCATGTAAACAAACTTTAGACTGATTTAGAGGCCCTGAATCTAAAGTTGAAGACCTTTTAATGATTTATTATTTGGGAGATGATGACAAGCCCTTCAACCTTTCCCATCAGAGCTGAAAAACACCCATTATAGCTGGATCGTTGAGAAAACAAACAGCAGCCTAAAACACAGCTTGCTTGTGATGTTTGGGTAGTGCAAGAAATCAAGCAGATGATCCATGCTTGTTAGTTATTTATATATATATATATATATATATATATATATATATATATATATATATATATATATATATATATATATATATATATATATATATATATATATATAAAATAGTATCTAATATATTGTTATATAATATTATTACTTGTATTTAACATTGGTTTAAATTAACCAAATTAAGTTTCTATTCATCAAAAACTTTTACATTTTTACAATTAAGCTATATTTAATGTTATTATTATTATTATTAATATTATTATTAAATTACATATAAAAATATCTTTACTTTAATCCAGTTTAATAATTTGATTTTGTGTAGTAATTCTCTAGACATGTTGTTTGGAGTAAAATCTTTATGATTAAAACATAAAATATTAAAAATATAAAATGATGATATTTTAATGATTTAAATGTTTTATTTATTTAAACTTAATTTAAATATATTATTTATTTTTAGCTGATTAAATTGTTGAAATTATTATTAACACAAGCATACAAACTAAAATAATGATTTATAACACTGATTCAACTACACACCAAGTTTATCACATTTTAATAATCAAACTTAAATACTTTTAAAGATTAGGTTTTTCATTTATATTCTTATTTAAATTGGTTTTAAATCTAATTAAGTATTTTTTAAATAAAATATTTATATGTTTATTTTAATATTTTTTATTTAATAGCATTTAAATATAATTTAATTGGTATTTTATCACTTGCTTATTTTCTTTTTTTTATTTTATATTTAATGTGCTGTTTTACTAAAGTTAAATATTTGCATTATTTATTTTATTTTAATTATTCTAATGACACATTTTTCCTATAAAACTGCTCCTACAGGAGAGAAACTCTAAATATTACAACTATACGCTGTCAGTGAATGGCAGGGCGCAGCGGCACGGACAAAACTACAGCGAGGATTACCTTACAGATGTCCTGGTAGGAGCAGATCTTGTGTTCATGAAATTACAGAACAGCGAATGATCTACCCGAGTTAGTGGCTCATCCATGTCTGATTCCATCCAGGCCAATGTTTCCATCGACTTCCTGGAAAACAAGTCAAACCGCAGGCCTTTCTTCATGATGGTGTCCACACCGGCGCCACACTCGCCCTGGACGGCCGCTCCGCAGTACGACAGCAGTTTTCCTGACCTCAAAGCTCCACGAGACCCCAACTTCAACATACATGGGAAGGTACAAACCTCAAGTGTCTTCAATATACTGACTGGGTGTTTATTTTTGCTTATCTGACAGCGTTTGAACCACTTTTCAGGACAAACACTGGCTCATCAGACAAGCGAAGACGCCCATGAGCAACTCTTCAGTCGAGTTTTTGGATAACGCCTACAGAAAACGGTACTATGACTTTTATATATATATATATATATATATATATATATATATATATATATATATATATATATATTAGGTATGTAACAGTATTGTAAATACCGTCATACCGCAATATTAATTTTTTTCGATATTACCGTAGTCGCATGACTCGGTAAAACTATAGGTCTTCTGAGAAAATTTGCTCAGGCGAATGAAGCGAACGGGAGGTACCGGAAAACTACAATTCCCATAAGCCCAGGCTTGGCCATAATCCCTTGCGGTCTGTTGTCGCTACAGATCCAGTAATGCGGAAATGGAGTGTGCTGCTAGAAGCGGGGATCAAAAAGAGCTGTAAAACTCTAAAGCGGGTGTTGTGGCCGCGCGCGTCCTGAATAGTGGTGTTTTCGCGCGAGTTCTTATCGGCTGTGTTGTCGCGCGAGTTCTTATCAGCTGTGTTGTCGCGCGAGTTCTTATCAGCTGTGTTGTCGCGCGAGTTCTTATCAGCTGTGTTGTCGCGCGCGTACTGTAAAGCGGGGACGGAGGGTATGTCGCGTCGCGGGGGCACTTTTGATCATTTTGGAAGGGAACATTCTATCAAAGACTAAAAAGGGCATGTGCACTGCACAGGTTGAGCACTGTGTGTGCACGTGCCTGCAAGTTGGGGAATACGACTAATAATCAGTCATGGGGACTGCAGAAACACAGCACACTGTTCAGATTGATGCAGACATGAGATCTCTATCTCACTCATGGTTTGTGCTCTCAAGTGGGGGAAAGACAATGCACAACGTTACCCACTGCTGTCAACCTGGGCCAAGTCATATCTCTCTTGTCCCAGAAACCTCAGTCCCAAATGAGAGGGTTTTTTTTCTGTTGCAGGGGACATTGTAAATACCCAGAGATACCAGCTTTTACCAGATTATATTTATATGATAATTTTCCTTTAAACCCATCTCTATCTAAGTGAGTGAGTGATTAAATGTTGAATGTGATTTTTCAACACTACTAAATTTAAACTTTATTTTTTTTACATGGTTTAATATTTTTTTGTTATTAAAATTGAAGTTCCTGTTTCAAAGCTTACAGATAGATGGCTAATTTGTATGTCATTGACACTTTTGGCACTTTTTTGGAGTATTTTCATAAGTTTTGTTTTTTCCTGTAAATGATTCAATAAATACCGTACCGTGACATTCATACCGAGGTATTACCGTACCGTAAAATTCTGATACCGTTACATCCCTAATATATATATATATATATATATATATATATATATATATATATATATATATATAAATTTATAGCTGCAAAAGTGCGGTTATTAGTCATTTAAGTCTTCTTGAATAAACCTTTGAGAGTTTGTTACAAATTTGCATAATGGCAGTCTGTGATTTCATTGGCTGCCTGTAAACAGCATCTGCTTTGACCCTCAAACACTGAAGTTGAAAGTTGAAGCTGAAACTAAAAGAGTTTCATTGCTCCATTTGACAAATCGGAGTAGAGTTGGACCAATCTGACCAATCAGAACAAAGTAGGGATATCCGACCAATCAACAGAGAAGGTCCTAATCAGAGTAGAGTGGGACCATCTTACCAAATTAGAACAGCGTAGCGCCATCAGACCAATAAGAGTAGAGGTGGGACTATCTGACCAATCATAACAGAGTAAACAATGGGTCATCAGACCAATCAAAGTGCAGTGGGACCATCTGAGCAACCAGAGAAGGTCCCCCAAAGGGCCATATAACCAAATAAGAACACAGTAGGGCCATCGGACCAATCAAAACAAAGTAGGGCTATCAGACCACTCGAAGTGTAGTAAGGAACCCATTTAGGCAAATGGATGCACAGAGCCGTCATACCAATCACAGTAGATTGAGACCATCTAACCAATCAGAGTAGTGTAGGATCATCTGACTGATCAGAACAAAGTAGGGGCATCAGACCAATCAGAGATGTGTAGAGCCAAGTGGCCAATCACAACAGACTTAATCATCTAAACATATCAGAGCAACGTAAGGCCATCTGACCAATCGGATCAGAGCCATCAGACCAATCAGAGTGGAGAAGGATCATCTGTCTAGTCACCACAGACTGAATCATCTAAACCATCTGACCAATCAGAGCAGGGCCAACTGACCAATCACAACAAACCAAGATTGGTCTGATCTGACCAATCAGAGCACAGTAGTCTCTCAGAAAGGCGGAGTTTCGAGTGAGCAGACTTTTGAAGCAAGCGTTTCACACTGAGAGAAAAGAGCTGACGCTACAGTGTATATTTAGACAAAAATGATCTGTATTCTACACTTGGGATGGTTTATACTTAACGTAAAGCTGCATAATAGGGATGTAATCTGTTTTGATCCACTAGGTGGCGCACTTTACTATCAGTGGACGACCTGGTGGAGAAGCTGGTGAGAAAGCTGGACATCAGAGGAGAGCTCAGCAACACCTACGTCATTTTCACCTCCGACAATGGATATCACACAGGTACACCAGGAGTTCACTGGATAAGACATGGTTATTTTTTTATTTTAGTGACTTTTATTTTGTTACATGCGTGTTTGTTTCTCTCAGGCCAGTTTTCTCTGCCGATGGATAAGAGGCAGCTCTATGAGTTTGACATCAGAGTTCCTCTGCTGGTGCGAGGGCCGAATATCAAACCCAATCAGACCAGCCCGGTAATAAAAACAAGCTCTTTTTTAGATATATATAAATAAAGAAATATATTTTGGGAGTAATTTAGAGGTATATTTGTTTGGTGTGTCAATAATAATGGATCTTTTGTGTTGTAAGTTACCTATAGCAAATGTGGATTTGGGTCCAACAATTCTAGACATCGCAGGATATAACGTCAATGACACTCAGATGGACGGCATGTCATTTCTTCCTATAATGGTACGTCCTGTTTGAACTACAGTAAATGCAGGTATTACTATCGGTCATTTTGAGCTTCGTGCAAAGGTTTTCTTGCTACATGTCCAGTATAATGACCTTGTTTTGAGCATAAATTAGGGTTTGCCTTTGTTTTGTGGCTTGTGTGCTTGGATGTGTGTGTGTGTATGTGTTTTAGGTGGGTGAACTGAACAGCAGTGTGTGGAGGTCAGATGTACTGGTTGAATATGAAGGTGAAGGCCGTAATGTGTCAGATCCTGCCTGTCCTCTGCTGGGCCCCGGGGTCTCGGTGAGTGTCTGTGTGCTGCTGATATATTTCTGCATTAAAGTCACCTTAAATAACGAGTGCTGAGACTGAGTGCTTTCTTTACAGGAGTGTTTCCCTGACTGTGTGTGTGAAGACGCCTACAACAACACCTACGCCTGTGTTCGCACTGTGTCACCGAACGCCAACTTACAGTACTGTGAATTTGATGACAACGAGGTAAAAAACAAAGCGAAAAGAAAAGTACTAACTGATAGTAATAATATAATGACTAAAACAACTTAAATATTTACATTATGCAGTATATAAGCTCTAAATACTTTAAATATTTCATATAAATATAATGTGCTTTTGTAATGTAAATATATATATATATATATATATATATATATATATATATATATATATATATATATATATATATATATATATATATATATATATTTACATAGTAATGGGTTGCGGCTGGAAGGGCATCCGCTGCGTAAAACATATGCTGGATAAGTTGGCGGTTCATTCCAGTGTGGCGACCCTGGATTAATAAAGGGACAAAGCCGAAAAGAAAATGAATGAATGAATGAATGAACTAATTATTTTTTATATGTATAATACATGTCATTATGCTATGTATTATACAATATTATTATATTATAATACATATTATTATTTATAATGTTATTCTATAATTTAGATTATAGAAACATGTAATATTTAAGTAAATTAAACATGTTTATAAAATATAAATTTTAATTTCAATATTAAGATTGTGTGCGTGTGTGTGTGTGTGTGTGTGTGTGTGTGTGTATATAATATTTTTAATAAAATTTAAATGCACTTTATGATGTTTTAAATAGGGTGAAAATATATAATGTACACGTAATATATTATTAATATATCATTTTGTAAAAAGCCCATCATGTACACAATTGAGTTTATTTAATGCATAACATATTAAAAATTCTGATTACATAATAAATATTCAAATGATTATAAATTAACACAATAAAAAAACTAAATTAAATTTTTATTTTAAAAATGATCCATTTATTTCTTCATAAAATATCATTATTATAATTTTAAATAAATGCAGTATACATAATATTGTTAATAAAATATATGTATGAATAAACTGGCAAACTAAGCATAAGTTATAACAGTTATGTAATATAAATGAGCAATATCACACGAGTAGCAGTGCAATATGGCTGTATATCGGCACTGGTGGGAGGCGTGCGTTGCCTTAGTGCCCCCACCAGTGCTGATATACAGCCATATCGCACTGCTACTCGTGTGATATTGCGTTTATACAACAGTTTGACGGCATAAATGTGTATATAAAAACGAAATCAAACATGGAGAGTCTCAAAAACCCTTTTGTATGAGGAACTACTTTCTTCCGGATTCAAATCATAAGCAGACAGTTAAACAGCTGAGCAAGCATCTGTTAAACTTTAGATCTGTAGTGTCTGCTTTTTGCTGGCTGTATGTGGGCGGAGTAATACACAAAGGGTAAAGAGGCTGTAGGAGTTCTGATATTGCAGAATATCTCACGGCTATCAGCCAATCAGATTTGAGAACCAGACAGAACTGTTGTATAAAATATTATACAGACATACAGCGGAACCAAAAGATCGTCTCTCGCAGGATCACGGTGCTACATAAATAAATCATAAATCTGAACACAACCCTGGACATAAGAGCTATTTTAAACATATGCAGTTGAAGTTTGAATTATTAGAGCCCCCTGTATATTTGTCCCAATTTCAGTTTAACAGATTTGTTCACCACATTTCTGAACATAATAGTTTTAATAACTCATTTCTAATAACTGATTTATTTTATCTTTGCCCTGATGACAGTAAATAATATTTGACTAGATGTTTTCCAAGATGCTAGTATTCAGCTTAAAGTGACATTTAAAGACTTAACTAGGTTAATTGAGTAGGACATTGTATAACAGTGGTTTGTTCTGTAGACAAAAAAAATATAGCTTAAAGGGCTAATTATCAGGGCTTTACATTAACACCCGCAGAATGCGGGTAGATTTCAGCTTTGGCGGGTTAGACAAACACCCCCACTAGCCACTTTGACTGGTTGAAAATAATTTTTAAATTGTAGTTTTCCTAAAAGCAGGGTTCGACAATATAAGGATGGCCCAATATGCGTGCAAATGTGATCTTAGAATCGAGAAGTAAAATAATTGTGATCACGCGAGCAGAAGAAAGCAACCCTGCTAAAAAATCCAGCTTAAACCAGACTAGGCTGGTTTAAGCTGGATTTTTCAGCAGGGAAGTGAATACCGAATGAGAGGATGATGATCAATAGCGCTAACAGCTGATGTGATGCGCCCAAATCGTGAAGCAACCGTGTCTGGAACAGGTTCTGGAAACGCAACTGTCATCGGTTCTCTTTCAAATAAACTAGACAAATTGTGATGAACATGCAGCCGCAGTCCTGATGCTTTTAAGAGCTCAAAATGTGTCTTTATGTAAGCAGCACCGGTTGCTTTCACTTTGAACAGATTATTAAATTGCATTAAGTTAACCGTGCGCATGTGATCATTCTTTCATCATCACACACGGTATGTTTCACCTGCTTTCATTTGCTTACGGTTTTATTTGCTTTCATTTTTGTTAAAATGGTTTAATTATCTGTTTTACAATATTGCTTTAACGGGAGATGACCTCTCCATTTATCTGCAGTTAACTGGCGATCCGAGAGATCTTTAGCCAGGACAGATTACTGTGCATATTTTGGATACATGACAATAGTAATTTTTTTAAAAGTCAATTGCTTTTCTTTCTTTTTTAAAGAAATGTCTTGTTAAATAAAAAGTATAGTGTACAGCTATATTTTGCTTGTTTTGACACATTCAAAATTTGTGGCTAAGAAATAAGTTCGTATTTGTAGCATGTCAACATCAAATTTATGCATGTAAAATATTTTTTACCAACAACAAAATTGTGGCTAGTGAAAAGCAGAGTGGCTAGTAACATTGGAAAACTACTAGCCACAGTGGCCGGTGATTAAAAAAGATAATGTAAAGCCCTGCTAATAATACTGACCTTAAAATGGTGTTTAAAAAATTAAAAACTGCTTTCATTCTAGCCGAAATAAAACAAATCCGACTTTCTCCGGAAGAAAAAACATTATAGGAAATATTGTGAAAATTTCCTTCAGCTTTATACATGACTAACACACTGGAATGAAATATATGTTGTAATATAAGCTCACCGTCTTTGCTTGCAGGTGTTTGTGGAGGTCTACAATCTGACGTCAGATCCGTTTCAGTTGAGTAACATCGCCAAGAGCATCGATCAGGAGGTGCTGGAGAAGATGAACCACCGGCTCATGATGCTGCAGTCCTGCTCGGGACGCTCCTGCAGAACGCCAGGGGTCTACGACTCACGGTCACTACCTAAAACACACGTCTCAAATAACACCAGGACTTAATTTAAAATCCCTGGTAGCCTGAATAGAACGGACATTACCTAATAAACAAATACATACATTTACTCATATATAGGCTATATAATGGCATTCATTCATTCACTATAGGGTCCATATATACTTTTGACTGACCACATTTGAATTATTTTTATTTATTTATTGTGTTTATATAGGCTGAAAAGCTCACTTGCTCCGGTGTGTCCTCTGCAGGTTCAGGTTTGACCCTCGGTTCATGTTCAGCAGCCTGGTCCCGCACAGAAACAAGCGGCGGCAGATGCTGAAGTAGATCGGATGAGACGACGCAGGGTGCAGAAAAGACGATGCCTTCATATCCTGACGCTCGGTAATAAAGAGACGAGGCCATTCTGGAGCGTCCAGGGTGCAAAACACACTGCAGACACTTTCAGACAGGACCACATGCTTCATGTCCTGACAAAACACACTAGTAGATTTTCAGCTTTATATTTTTCTCTCATGATGAATAATTACATTACACACACACACACTGTATTTGTGCGCAATTTATAGGAATAGCTCACCCAAAACCATGAAAACTGGGTGAAGGTTACCTATAAACGCAATAACACTCCCTCACCTTTTCAGTTCTGCTCTCTGATCAAGTCAAGTGTTGTTTAGCATTTCAATTTCTGTCCTTTGAGTGTGTTTCTGAGTGAATGAGCCAAAGCTGTAGATCACAGCAGCAGTAAATGTTACATTTACATCTGTTTAATAACTTGTTTGGTTATTTTATGAGGGAATTTATCATGTTTTTGTGGTTTATTCACTCAAACTTGAAGCGTGAAGGGATTGTTTTTTTCTTTCTGACTACTCAACGATCTTGGATCGAGTTGGTAATATCTCAAATCACAGAAATAAATGATTAGACAGGCATATTTTTCCATGATATTTCATTATCTATATCTGTCAGTCAAGCACTTTTTAGTCTGTGATCAACATGTTTATTGCACATAATTCTTTCGTTATGTTTGTTTGTGGCATTGATATGGTTGGTGAGTTTTTGTCTTGTGTGTTTGATTTGATAAAAGCATTCGGAAATCATGTTTTTGTCTGTATTTTAACGAGGATTTTTCAATAATAAACAGGACAAAATGTGGTTTACGATTACATAAGTGTCAAATAATGGAATGGAAATGCAGTTATGTTTATGATACAAATTGAAATAAAATATTTGTTGAAAATATAAGTATGTATATTAGTGTGATGCACAACTATGGTGTTTTTCAAAGGTGTAGTTTAAAAAATGTATATTTATTTATATATATATATATATATATATATATATATATATATATATATATATATATATATATATATATATATATATGAGTTAATCTATATCTATAGAATATAAAAACATTTTATTATTAAAAATATTTTTTATATTATTATTTATGTATTATTTATTTATTTTTATTTGTATATAATATAACTATTATAAATATATAAATTCTTTATACAATTTATTATATTATCCTTTTATTTATGTTTTTTATATTAATGTTTTTTATATTAATGTTATATATAAAATGCATATGTATATTAGTGTTAGAATTTTTTTTAAATCTATATAAAATACAAAACATTTTAATTTATTTTATTTGTATAAATTATAAATATATAAAATATAAATATTTCATAAAAATATTATAATTATATATATTATATTTTTATATCATTTGATATATAAAAATATCTAAAACATCTATAAATTTGCATTTATTTTGCATTTATTTTTATGTCAGCTTATTTGAAATCTATAAAATATAAAACATTTAATTTTTGTTATTTGTTTTATTTTTTCTAAATTATAAATATATAAAATATAAATAATTAATATAAATATTATAAATAAATTATATTTTAATATAATAATTTTATTAACATCTTATTTATAATATTTTATGTACATTTTATATATAAAATATAAAAAACTAAAACATCTACATTTATGCAGCTATTCAATGCAGTTATTTTTTAAACAAATATAGAGAACATTAAAATACAGAAAATCATTAATTAATGAAATTATATTAAACAAAATACAAATAAAATGATTATAAATATAATGTCAGCTCATTATTTAAAATCTATATCTATAAAATATATTTACAAAATTATTATTATTTACTTTATTTTATAAATTATAAAAATCTATTATAAATATTATAAAATTATAAATTTAGGTAACACTTTAAAATAATGGTCCATTGGATATTGTATTTATTAACAAGCATTTAGTTACACATTTATTAAAGTATTAGTTCATCTGAGTTAATGTTAGGTAACGTTATTTAAGTTAGTTCATGTTAACTCACTGTCCTTTAAAAAATGTTAACAAGCACAACTTTGGATTTTGGATTATTTAAAATCTATACCTATAAAAACTTGATTTATTATGATTTATTGTTTTTATATATAAATTCTTAATTAATGATAATAATTAATTTATTATCATCATTTATAATTATTTATATACATTTTACAAATAAAAAATCTCTAAAACATCAATAAATGTATGCAGTTATTTTTTATTTTAAAAATATAAAGAACATTAAAATACAGAAAGTCATTAATTAATAATATAACTACACAAAATACAAATAAAATTATTATACATATAATGTCAGCTTTTCGTCAAGGCAGCATTTTATTTTCATTTTAATACAGTTTCAAGAGTTCACACTTAGATATTGCTTGATAATAATAGCAGGTTTGGCATGTTGTCCCATGAGAGAACCCTGAGCTTGGAGATAATTGAGCCCAGGGCTTCCGCCTGATTAATGAGCATGTAAGGGGGTCCGAGATCAGGTAGATCATCGCGAGCTCCCCCTGGTAGAGGAGGTAAAGGAGGAGATGGGGTGAATGGGGGGTTCTTTCAATATGAAAATTAGGGCGTGAGGCAAGACAGGCTATTTATAATGAGTTTGGAAGAATCTGATTGGTTCATGAATGATTATAGATGAGGGACCAGCTGCGATCAATCATATCACGTGCTCCTCTCGAAATTAGTTTATAAAACTTCATTTAATTTAGCACAAAAAATAACTAAATTAAGTGAAATAAACATCAGGAAGTAGATAGACGCTTAAACTAATAAATGATCAAATTAAATCTAATATTAAAAATAAAAATTAAATCTTTAGTTATAGCTAACTAAAACAATGATCTCAAATCAAACTAAATATTAAAAATAAAATGATTACACATTTCTGATTGGTTATTTAACTTGAAGCATTAATAATAACTAAATAGACAGACATAATCAAACAAACAGCAACTGAAATAATAATAATTATGGTGGTTGTCAAGATAATGTTTTAAATTTTCATTTGATTTCACTTGTCCCATAATAACAAAACTAAATCTACTACAATTAATAGCATTACAGTAATTAATGCATTTAAAAATAAGTAATAATAGTATTACAAATACAAGTAGATGGATGAAACTCTCTCACAAATGATCAGTTGAAATGATTCGAAATGACTATTGAATGCACTCATGTTGTGCAGTTATTTTTGCAGTCGTTGCAAGAAAAATTAACAAATGATCAACAATCTGTGTTTGGCACCAAAACACAATCTTCAGTTTTAAATGAAAGCATTATGCTTTCAAATGGCCAGTGTGTTTGACAGTGCACAGACATATGCTCCAGCGTCTCCCGTACAGCTAAAACATCCGGATTAGACAAACTACAGCAGCTTTGAAGGATCACTTCACTTCCAGAAGGAACATTTATGATCATTTACTCACTCTTTAGTTATCCAAAATGCTATTTTTTTGGAGGAAAACATGCAGGACTTTTCCCATATAGTGCACTTGAATAGTGTTCAGTGGTTTAGACTACAACTTCAATGGGTCAAACTTTGTAAATGGCCTTTTTTTTAGGGGAATGACCTTATCTAAGATCATTAAAAGATCCTTATTCCTCAGCAGAGATCATTTAGAGATTTTTCCACTTGCAGTTTGTATATTTAAACCACTGACAACCATAAAAGTCCACTGTATGGAAAAATATATGAATTTGTCTGGGATTTCCCGGCATTCCTGCACCACTTTAACACTGACAAAGCAGTTTTAAATGGACAGTCCACCCAAAAATAAATCAGTTTGAAGATATTTTGAAGAATGTTGGAAACCAGAAAATCGCCAGTAGCCATTGACACCCATAGTAGGTGATGATACATACTATGGAAGTCAATAGATGGTGCAAAACATTCTTCAAAATATCTTCTTCTGCAGTTTGCATAGTCAAAGCACAGAGCACCATAGAAGTCCACTATAAAGAGGAAAATCCTGTGTGTTTTACCCCAAAAATGTTATTGATTTAACTGATGAAGGGAAGAAATTAACATTTTGCTTGACGAGGGAAATTTTGCAGAGGACATTGTCATTCTGGAAGTGATCTAATGCTTTAATTGCATAATTCACAGTAGTTTTGCATGATTCACAGTACTGTAATGCGTTGTTGAACTCATCTCATTGCGTGATGAATGCACAGTTGTGGTGTTCAGCTCCACTCATCCAGCACTGGCAGGAATGGCAGATCGGTGTTGCCCAGATAGTAAACTGTCCCGTGCTGGAAGACGTCACTGACGGCCCATGTGAGGTGTCCTGTGGGGTCATGGAGGCTGTCGATCACCTGTCCCGCAGAGTCCAGCTCCAGAACCACTCCGTACTTTGGCAGGAGGAGATCGTACCAGCTCAGAGGAACCAGCTGAGGGATAGATCAGGATATAAAGTTCATCTTGGCACTCAGAAATGAACACAGCCGGCTTTATATCACTGGGCCTCAATTAGTCTTAAAATGTCAAGGTGTTTAAGACAATTTTATCTGACAAACAGGAATAATAAGCAGACATCTCTATTCTCACAATGAGTTTCTGAGTTTTCTCAATCCAGTTCGTGATTCGGCATTTTTAAAGCATAGCGCATCTGTTTTGAAGCACTTCACCTCAAATGTTATTTGTTCTCCAATTTTTTTAGAAGTTAACTTTGACCAAGAAAAACATTTAAACACATAGACAAACTATATACAAAATTCATTTTAAAAAGATATTTTTTCCAAGAAAAATATACGATTTATATTTTAGTTTGAGCCCGTCCACTACTCAGCTGTGCGGGTGAATGATATTTGGTCAGTGGAAAGTAAGGATTTAATTAATGCTTTACGAAACGTTCACAATCTTCTGTCATATTTCAGCAAATTTTTTAATATGTCATAATTTAAAAGATTAGAAGGGGCGGTGCTGGATTTGTGTGTACCCAGGAATAAAATCCTGCAGGCGCCCCTGACATAAACTACAATATATTACTTAATAAGCTACTCATAAAACACTGACTCCAGCGTGTTTAAGACCTACCCACCTTCACTATGGCACGTTTAAGTGCAGGATAGGGACCGATCAGATCCAGGAACGGCGGAAAGAGGCGACCGGCGAATCTAACAGTGGATATTCCTACTAAAAATGTGCCTCGGTCACTGAGCCGGATGTTATCAGGGTAACCAATCATGTTGTTCAGGACGACCTCCTTCATACCCGCTTTCGGCCCCTTCAACCAGAACCTGGGGAACAGCAGAAAACTTGTGTTATGAAATATAATAGGTGGGCTTTTCTGTATGTGTCTCTTTAAATGCAAATGAGCTGCTTCTTCCCGCCCCCTTTCCAAATATTGGAAACTCTTGATAATTCATTCATTCATTCATTTTCCTTCAGCTTAGTCTTTTTATTCATTAGGGGTCACCACAGCAGAATGAACCGCCAACATATCCGGCATATGTTTTACACAACGGTTGCATATCCAGCTGCAACCCAGTACTGGAAAACACACATACACACTCATTCAAACACATACACTACAGCCAATTTAGCTTATTCAATTACTCAATAGCGCATGTCTTTGGACTGTGAGGGAAACTGGAGCACCCGGAGGAAACCCATGCCAACATGGGGAGAACATGCAAACTCCACAGAGAAATGCCAACTGACCCAGTCGGGACTCGAATCAGTGACCTTCTTGCTGTAAGGAGACAGTTCTAACCACTGAGCCACGTTTCGAATTTACTTACTAACTTTATTCAGTACTGTGCTTGAACTCTTACTTGATAATCCGTCCGATGCTGGTTTCAGCCAGAAGCAGAAAGTCTTCATCAGGTGAGAAAGCAAATCCATTTGGCATATATAGAGAATCCAGCAGCGTCCGAACGCGACCGCTGGTGGGGTCAAAGGTCAGAAGGCGACCCAGACGATTCGTCTCCAACACCTGAGGGCAGAACCGCCTTTAGTGCAGGGAGTACTACAGCTTTTGTATGTTTGTTTTTATTATTTAAAGTACGATGACCTCATATCGAACGTGACGTCTTCCCCATTTACTGCTGGAGTCGGTGAAGAACACAGTGCCGTTTTTAGAAATCTCCAGACCGTTCAGAAAGCCAAAGGGAATCCCATCAGCTCCTTTTGAGAAGAATGAGACACGGCTGTTTGTTTAGTTAATTATAATGTATTGTTTTGTGATATAAGTTAGTCAGAATTATTAGCCAGCCTTCACATTTTTTTTTCTTTTTAAAATATTTTCCAAATGATGTGTAACAGAGCAAGGAAATTTTCACAGTATGTCTGATAATATTTTTTCTTCTGGAGAAAGCCTTATTTGTTTTATTTCGGCTAGAATAAAAGCAGTTTTAAATTTTTTATCCATTTTAAGGTCAAAATTATTAGTAAATATTTTGGGCAACTTTGAAGATGTTTATTGTAAAGTGTGTAACATTAATTAAAATGTTGTAACATTATATATATATATATATATATATATATATATATATATATATATATATATATATATATATATATATATATATATATATATATATAATAATTCGTTATTATTTATATATTTATATATTAACAAACCAATGTCATAAAAATAAAACAAAGTACATAATAATAATATGATTATTAATGTTACAAAATAGTAATAATATCAACTTATATAGTGACTTTCTTGAACTCAGTTACACTTTACAATAAACATCTTCAAAGTTGTCCACAATATGTTCTAGGAAACTAAAGTTACTAATCAAAATTTATATATATATATATATATTTGTATATTGCAGTCGGAAATTTACAATACAGTATGTCTTGATGGAGATGATCTAAAAAAATAATACTAAAAAAAAAAAACAATGTGGGCATAAAATAAAAAATTATCATTTTGACTCAATACAATATGTTCTGGCAAATCATTTAAATTAGGGCTGCACAATATTGTAAAAATCTGACATTGCAATATTTAAACTTTTAGTGATAAATATTGTGATATGAATACAGTTTCCCCCAGATGGATTAAATTCTCTATTTGACTTTTTCTAGGGAGCCCAACAAGTATTTATGTACATAAATTGAGTAATCTCAATGCAAATTACTTCGGGTTGCCTTGTTTCTAGTCCGAATATTTAAAAAAATACAATTTGTTTTTTCACTTTCAGAAATAATAAGTCAAAATTAAGTGAGATTTTCCTTAAAGCAAACTAAATAATCAGCCAGAGGGGTGAGCAAAATAATCCTATTTTAGGTTTGAAATGCAGATATTTGGACATGAAACAAAACAAAAAAAAAATCTACCAAACCAAATCTACCATTTTTTATAAATGTCAAATAACACTATATCATCTTCAACAAAATAATAAATAATTTAATGCAATTAATCTTTGTTGCGCCTCCTAAAGTCATAATTTCTTGTGCCCAAATGTTTTAAACTTTCTTGAAATTCTCCGTGACAGGTCTTAAAAACATATGCAAATGAAAAACCTTGACTTTTATATAGTTAATCTAAAGCAGTGACTCTAAAAGTCCAGACTCAACATTGTAAATCCTGCGATGTGATTATTGCACATGCGCACATATTGCATAATCGATGCTGAAACGATATATTGTGCAGCACTAATACAAACATATCCATCCAGGGTCACAAACACACAGAATATATTTAAAAAACGGCCAGTCGATGATGTGCACATAGCCAAAGCAACCAAAATTAGGTGAAAAGCTCTTTTTTGGACACTTTTGAGAGACTCCAGATGTTTACAGACCGTCTTTGCTGGAATGTAGGAGTGTTTTCTCTCCGGTCGAAGGGTCGACTTTAAACAGGCCGTAATAAGAGTCTGCCACAATCAGCTGCCCGTCCCGGTCCAGCCGCAGGCCATGAGGACGACCACAAACAGGCTCATAGTCTGTACTGAAGCCTAAACGAACAACACAACAGACATGTTTCCATCCAAAGAACTTAACTGAATATATATAGGTAAAAGTGCAATAATGTAAAAAAAGATGTGCAAATAAAGCAGGGTCTCCATCAGTCCAAGAGAACAAAATCATCACTTCCTGATAAACCGGCAGCAAATATCACAGAGAGAAGGTTTTCAGAGTGTTTTCTACTCTCGAATTGTTATATTCATTTATATTTCTCCTAAAATCATCTTTATTTACTTTAAACTATTCAAATTTTATAGTCACAAATGTTATTGCATATCTGTCAGACGCTATACAGCACAACCCTGACGAAGGAAAGCTTGTTAGGGATGAAGAATAATGTACTGATGAAGACTTCTGCATTTCTACAACACTTGACTCTTTGTGAATCTCTCTTTAGCGTGTCTGGCAGCGTGAACGCCTCCGTAACAGAGGATACACATTTTGGTGTGGATTTACCACATTGGGGGATGTTCTGGCCCATCTGTGTGATGAACTTCAGGGATTCGTTGTTGATTCTCCAAAGCTTCCCGTCGACAGTGCCTGTGTAGACGTTTCCTGTGATTGGAAGAAGCAATGACACTTAAACTCCAGTGTTATTTTGGCAGTTCCGCCTGGATTTTGCCAAAACATAGCTGTTTTTGTTGTGGTTCACATCAGGGATTTCTCTTCATGACCAAAATTATTTATTAACTTGCAGTAACACCATGATAAAAATATTTAAAACATTGAAAAGATTGTTCCAAAAGCACTCACTAATAGCTGAAAATGAATAAAACTGTCACTATTTTGTAAAACAACATTTCTTAAAGTCAACATGCAACTGCAATTCAGAACTGCACATGTTAAGGGATAAAACCATCCTGTATCGTCATAGTATATAGATATATAGTAATCTGCCTTGATTTAAATAAGTTCAAAACCTGCATTTCTGAAACACAAACAGAAAACAGTAACACCATGATAAAAACATGACATTCAACATGACATTCATGACATTCAAACAGAAAACAGCACAGAAACTGAAATCTCACCATTCTGGTCAGCGGTGAACGACTCGGGACCTTTGAGCTGACCAGAAAACAGTTTTCTGCCTCTCTGTAAGCGCGTGTTCACCGCTAAAGGGCCCTCGAGAGCCGGCGGAGGATCCTCGAATCTGAAAAACACACACATACAGGTGAAGTCAGAATTATTAGCCCCCCAGTATATATTTTTTCCCAATTTCTCTCTAAAAGAGAGCAGATTTTTACATTTCTAATCATAATAGTTTTAATAACTCATTTCTAATAACTGATTTATTTTATCTTTGCCATGATGACAGTAAATAATATTTGACTAGATATTTTCAGGAGGCTAGTATTCAGCTTAAAGTGACATTTAAAGGCTTAACTAGGTTGATTAGGTAGCAAGTTAGGGTAATTAGGCACGTTATTGTATAATGAGGGTTTGTTCTGTAGACTATTGAAAAAAAATTGCTTAACGGAGTTAATAATATTGACATTAAATGTTTATTTATTTTTTTAAACTGCTTGTATTCTAGCCGAAATAAAACAAATAAGACTTTCTCCAGAAGAAAAAATGTTGCTGTGAAAATGTCCTTGCTCTGTTAAACATCATTTGGGAAATATTTGAAATAGTGTAAATTAGTACAGGCCCTCTCTGGAGATCAGTTTACATCAGAGTAAAGAGATTTGCTGTGGAAATACTCACATGTACGGCTCAGGATCAATAGGAGAGGGAATGAGATAAATTCCAACTGCAACGGCCAACAATACGACCTTCACTGAACTCTGACTAAGCCTGAGGAGATCAAGAAAGCAACCTTACATTTTACAAATACATCCTGTAAATATATTAAGTTCAGGGTTATTTTACATGTCAACTAATCTTCATGTGATTTTTGCTTTAATAGCAGAAATGTAATGCGGTCAGTATTATATTATATTATATTATATTATATTATATTATATTATATTATATTATATTATATTATATTATATTATATTTTTTAGAATAATTAAAATTTTATAATAAATATTATATTAATTATATTTTATTTTATATAATATTATATAATATTATATTATATTTTTATATTATATAATATTATATTTTATTTTACTATATTAATTATATTATATTATATTATATTATATTAAATATATTATATTATATTATATTTTTTAGAATAATCAAAATTTTATATTAAATATTATATTAATTATATTTTATTTTATATTATATTATATAATATTATATTTTTATATTATATTTTATTTTACTATATTATATTATATTATATTATACTGTATTATATTATATTTTTATATAATATTATTTTATATTATATTATTTTATATTATATTATATTATATTTTATTATATTATATTATAACATTTAATAACATTAATATATTTAATAATCAATACATATTATATTTAGCCATGTAAATATGACATTAAACTAAATATTGTATTATATACATGCAGATATGGCAGAAACAATATTTTGAGGCAGTTCATACATTCACAAATACATATAACATTAATCTTTTTATATTTATATACTAAATAATCAATAAATATTATATTTAATCATATAAATATAACATTAAACTAAATATAGAATTATATACATGCAGATATTGCAGAAAGGGTATTTTGAGGCAGTCCATATACAAAAATACATATAACATGAAAATTTAATATATAAATGTTATTAAAATAATCAATAAATATTATATTTAATCATATAAATATTAAACTGAACCAAATATGATATTATATACATGTAAATATAGCAGCAATGATTTTAAAGCACTCCATATTAGCAAATAATTAATATTTTTGATAACATTTATATATTAAATAATCAATAAATATTATATTTGATCATATAAATATCACATTAAACTAATCTGGGTATTATATACATGCAGGTATATAAAAAAGATATTTTGAGGCAGTTCATACACACAAATACAAATAACATGAATATTTTAATAACATTTATATATTTAATAATCAATAAATATTACATTTAATCATATAAACATTACATTGAACTGAATATATGATATTATAGACATATTGCAGACATGATTTTAAAGCACTCCATATTAGCAAATACATAAAACATTAATCCTTTTAATAACATTTCTATATTAGATAATCAATAAATATTATATTTAGTCATATAAATATGACATTGAGCTAAATATGATATTATATACATGCAAATATTGCAGAAAAGATTTTAAAGCAGTCCATTAGTAAATAAACAAGTCCATGAGGCAGTCCATTATAACAAAACACACATGCTCTCAATCAAAACTACTTCAGAAGCTGCAAAAACAATGTCTTATTCACACAAAGCTGTTGAAAGCACACGGTGTTGTTCATAAATAACGCAAATAATCCGCATTATTATCGTCGCATTGACTCGAGTGGGGTTTGAGAATGTGAAGTGCAGCACAGCATGAAAACACGACGGCGTTTACACAAAGCGAGCGTTTGTTCTAATATCACGCCCTAGTTCTTTTAAATATGATATTCAGGTTTTGTAATATGTGTAAACTTACATGGTTGTGTGGTAAAGTCGTTCGGACTGCAGTATAAAGTTCAGCGTTTGCTCCCGGGCGCCATGAAAGAAGACGCGCTGCTCTCCGCGATGAGTCAACGTTGATCCATCAGCGATAACTTTAACAACGGCGGGTTCACGTAAAGGACACTTCATTCACACATGTGCGCCTGCATTGAGTAAAACCTGGCCTCTCTCTAATTATTTACAGTTTAGATACATGGTGACAGCTAGTAGATGGGCTGTTAACTATTGCTAGCACAGGATAATAGCATTCATTTATCTCACAACACGTAGAAATAAAGATACAGCAAGATATAAACAGGTTTAATTTGTATTACATGTTTACATATTGCAAATCTGACCTTTATTTAGTTTTGTGAGGATTTCTTGCAGTCATTTGCTTAATTTTATAAGCTTTCTCCCAATTTTGACTTTATTTATCTCTGTTTAAATTTATATCTTAGGGTTTTTCTTTCAGAATTGTGATAAATTGGCAACTTCATGATCAAAAGTCACAAATTGTAGAACAAAACTACCTGTTAAATTGAAACTCTGAGATATAAACTTGAAATTCTGAGGTTAAAAAGTTATTTCAAGAAACATTTTAAGAAAAAAAGGACAAAATTCAGACAAACATCTCGCAATTCTCACCTTTTGTAGATTTGTGCTGGTTTCTTGCTTAATTGTATAAGCTGTCTGGCAATTCTGACTTTATTCCTCACAGTTATGAGTTTATATCTTATGGTTTATCTTTCAGAATTGTGATAAATTTGCAATTACAAGATAAAAGTCACGATGTGTAGACAATAACTTTGTGGTTTGTGGTCAGATTGAAACTCTGAGGTATAAACTTGAAATTCTGATGGGGAAAGTCATCTGTGAGATTTTAATTGGACATTTCAAGGAAAAAAAAGTCAGAATTCTGGGTCAACAACTCACAATTCTCACCATTTTAATTCTCACCATTTCTGACTATTCTATGCAGTTATAAACTTAATTTTATAAGCTGTCTCGCAATTCTGACTTTATTTATCACTGTTTTGAGTTTATATCTTAGGGTTTTCTCCTTTAGATGGTGATGCATTTACAAGATAAGAGGTCTGTGAAATAAACTTGAAATTCTGAGCGGAAAAGTCATCTATAAGATTTTAATTGGACATTAAAAAAAGACAAAATTCTGGGTTAACGTCTTACAATTTTAACCTTTTTTTCGATTTGTGATGATTTTTTGCAGTTATAAACTTAATTTTATGAGCTCTCTCGCAATTCTGACTTTATTTATCACTGTTTTGAGTTTATATCTTAGGGGGTTTCTTTCAAAATTGTGAGAAATTTGCAACTGAAGCTGAAAGAATGGTTGAAATCTTTACAGCAATGTGAACATTAAGCATTACTCTTTCAGGTTGGTCCCATTTACATTTCTCTTTATCCATATGGACTTGCATCTTATGTTTATGGCTCTGTAAATATTGTACATGTTTGCTGTATTGTGTTTTATTCTTGCCGGTTTTCTTTATTATTATTATTTTTTTAATTTTTTTTTATAATGTAAAGCCTAACCAGGGACGAGGGCTGCAAATTAGCTTTATGCTATATGCCCTATGTACACAACATCGGTTATCTTTGTATAACAATGTCAAGTGTATTGTCCCTGTAAAATAAACAAGCAAATAAAAAAAAAATAAATAAAACTACAAGATAAAAAAAAGATAAAAAAAATAAATAAATACTCTGGTTTAAGATTAAATCAAGATTTAAACTTGAAATTCTGAGCAGAAACATCCAGCTTAAAGATTTTAATAAGACATTTCCAGAAAAAAAGGACAAAATTCTGGGTTAACGTCTTACAATTTTAAACTTTTTTCGATTTGTGATGATTTCTTGCAGTTATAAACTTAATTTTATGAGCTGTCTCGCAATTCTGACTTTATTTATCGCTGTTTTGAGTTTATATCTTAGGGGGTTTCTTTCAGAATTGTGAGAAATTTGCAATTACAAGATAAAAAAAAATGACTGGTTTAAGATTAAATTAAGATTTAAACTTGAAATTCTGAGCATTTTAAGAAAAAAAAAGAGCAGAATTCTGTGTTTATGTCTCAAAATTCTCACCTTTTTTAGATTTTTAACTATTTAAATGATATTTCGCAAGTTTGACATTATTTCTCACAGCTGTGAGTTTATATCTTGGGGTTTATCTTTCAGAATTGGGATAAATTTGCTACTTCATTTGTTAAAAAAAAAAAAAAAACAACTCAAGGTTTACAGAACCTTAAAATTCTGAGCAGGGAAAAGTCAGTGGCGAGATTTGAATTAGACATTTCAAGAAAAAGGTCAGGCAACAATGACTAGAACTGTCGCCTCACAGCAAGAAGGTCACTGGTTAGAGTCCCGGCTGGGCCAGTTGGCATTTCTGTGTGGAGTTTGCATGTTCTCCCCGTGTTCGCGTGGATTTCCCCCACAGTCCAAACACATGCACTATAGGTGAATTTAATAAACTAAAATGTGAGTGTGTGTGTGTGTGTGTGTGTGTGTGTGTGTGTGTGTGAATGAATGCGTTTCCCAGTACTGTTGCAGCTGGAAGGGCATCCGCTGTGTACAACATATGCTGGAACAGTTGGCGGTTCATTCTGCTGTGGTAACCCCTGGAACTAAGCCGAAGGAGAATGAAAGAAAGTCAAAATTTGGAAAAAGAGCGATTTATAAATATAAAAACTTACAATGGGAATGTATACCTCATGAATGCTCATTATTCACTTCAGAGAAGTTTAAATTGTGAAATGCAATATCAGATGTATAACAAATACATATAAATGAAGATGAAGATCTGCAATTTCCTATTTTCATAGTGGAGAAAGGCTTCGATAAATGAGAAATTAAAGTTAGAATTGAAGTCTATATTCTTTAATGCAACGTTGTATAAAAGCATGTTTAATGACAAACAAGTTGCACTGAATTAAAACCACCACTTTTCAGTGTCAACAATTTAATTTATTAGAATTAGAAAATTAGGATTTTATTTCCAGCAAGATGCGAGCAGAAACACAAACAGGCTCCAGGGCGTTGAGAAATTTTGCATCTTTATTTAAAGAAACCATGTCTTCAACAAGAAAGGCCACGATTGGTTACAACACAAACCCTCAAAAAAAAAAAAAAAAAAAAAAAAGCATGACATCAGGATTCATCAGGATAACACAGATGCTCAATAAACTCATCGACTTCTATAAAATGAAGCTCACCTCATTCATAAACATCCATCAAACCCTCTATCATACGTAGGTAACTTTCAGAACAAACAAAAGAGAGAGAGTTTTTGGCAAGTGCAGAGTTGTGGGTCTAAACACGGCCGCGGAGGTCTTAAAACAGCCTGAACAATATGCATGAATTAATATAACACATGCATGTGTGCATCTAAAACCCTTCCACTACACATCAATACAGTTTCACATTCATTCACAGTCTTACTCTACAAACAAAAGCTTGTTTATGAAATAAAATCAAGTACTGAAACAGCTTTAATTATTAAAAAAAAAAAAAGACCTTCCACTAGATGCAATGCCATTTAAAACACAGTGGAAGACAACAGGCATCTGAAGAAGTCTAATGATAAAATCGAATCAAATAATTCCCTGAATTAACATAGACATAAAGTGCCCAAAAAAAGCATTACTGGTCTTATTCCCCTGACAAATCCTCTTCCATTGCATATATATATATATTTTGAGACTGTCGTGATGTTCACACAACGATATACGCTAATTAAGCTAATTCATATTCACCCCAGTGTTTACATTAGAGTTGCCAAGACATACTGTAATTTAACCTCGGCTTATCGAGGCGCACAAAACTGATTGCACCAGGCAATTGATTTCAAACTTAAATTAAACGACGCATTATAACTATATCTTTGGTTAGAGGTTTATATAACCGAGCCCATTTCCGCCATGACATGAAACTAAATGGGAATTTGCGACTTATTCTTTCATCATTCTGACGCGTTTTTGAAAATTTAACTATTTCGTAAAGTCCCAAAATGGCAGCTAGTTTATATAATGACTATTTTACAAAAAATTGAGACGTTTTTTTTTTATAATGCAGGTTTAAAGGCTCTCACAATTCAATCTTTTAGCAGATTATAACTTAAAAATTGCACAAAATAACGTCACATTTTTAGGAAAGTCCCAAATATAAGACGTTAACTTCGTAAATATCCGGAAATTTGTCTGAATTGTGAAACAAAAAGTCGCAATTACCTTTATTTTAATTCCACAAGCTTCTAAATAAAAGCTTCAATATAAAACCAATAATAATATCAACAACAACAAAATAATAATACAGAAATAAATTCTTTCGAAAAAAAAAAAAAGCACACCGACTAAACTGCAGAGATGTAGTTACAGCAGTTAACCACAAGAGGGCGCCATATCCCCAGCCATACATCGACATAATGTTGCAGTACCAATCAGAAAACCGTCATGCAGCACTAGCATACAGAGATTAAACGCGTCTATTAAAATCACCTACTGACATATGCATCACTTTAAATGTTGACCATGTGTGCTGTGACAAAGTAGTACTCAATTAACTCACAACAGTAACAGTTCCAGCTACGTCTCCAGATCGTGCACCACTTTATTTGCATCCTCCTGGTGCAGCAGATCAGCGTGATTATATAAACACACAAATCACTAGCACAAATAATCACACTGCAGCCAAGTACATGTAGCTATTTTAAGGCTGGAGCTTCAAAACAAACATGAATTACTGCCATATTCAGTCGTTTATCTTGAAGACGTCCTTTTAATTTAAATTTGCAGATGCTATTAGCTTTGGAAAAGGTCATTTTGACCCAGCGTTCGCCAAAAAAGTCCCCAAAAACAATCATTTAAGCAAACTTTCCAACATTTCCATCAACGACTTCCTCAAATCCCACTTCCATAACCTACATCTCATTCTCTGATTGAATAAAAACAAATGCACTGATGCCATTTGTTTAGCAACTCGCATCTCATTTCCTGTCCCTACATCACCGCATCCAACAATAAACAAACCCTTCCTGTCCGTCTGCTCTACATTTGTCGACAGCACGTCAAAGCCTAACATTGTCTTTGGTTGGGTACGTCCGTTTTAGGTCATTTGGTATTTAAAATAACTAGAATCTAAAAAATAATCCCCGATTCCCATCCGTCTGCGTGCGCTTGAAATAAAATAAGACTCTTCAGTAAAATAAACGAACATAAATTAAAACAACAAACAAAAATATGTACAAACCACAGCATCCAATTAAATACGCTCCGATTGTTTCCACGAGAGGTAAGGGAAGAGAAATAAGTGTGAAAGAGTGGAAAACGATGGTAAATATGGCACACGGGGTGCATTGTGGGAGGTCAGTTTTAACTCCTGTGAGTTTCTGGTGTCCTGTTGGCACAGTAATGAGTGTTCATGACACGCAGTGACCACTAGAGGCAGCAGCGCTACAGTTCGTTTGTTACTCTGTACTGTATGTTGGCTTTATCCAGGACGTCCTGCCGCGGTTTTCATGGCCTCCTCCAGTTTCTCTCTATACGTGTTGTAGCGTCTGCTTATGGAGCACATCTGGTCCTGCTCCTCTTTTTCCAGGATGCGGATGAAGTTTTGCAGTTCAGGGATGGAAAAGGCGTCCCACTGTTGAGCGAGAGGAAGGTTTAGTGTGATTGTATGGTGATTTAGAATTCAGGCGGAGATAGTTAAAGGTCAATTCTCACCATGACTTCACCGGTTTGCTGCTCTTTGAGTACAAAGCTGAGCGTGTCTGTATTCGGTCCTGCCACCAGACGCAGAAACAGAGGGTGCTCTTCTTCGGAGAGCTTACAGGTGTAAACTGCACACAGACACACACACAGACAAAACACACAAGTGCTGTAAGCATCACATACTTCATTCATATAGCATGTCTACAGAAACAGCGGAAGAATTGGCATATCACAATGAAGGTCAACTGATTTTTTTTGTAACCTTTTTTATTTTTAACCCTTTTTTTTCCAAAAAAACCCAGCTTATTTTTTATTAAACTATTTTAAATGCACTTAATTTATTCTTATTATTATTATTATCATTTTTATTATTATTATTATTATTATTATTATTATTATTATTATTATTATTATTATTATTATTAGTCTAGAAGCTTTCAAAATTGTTCAACTCAAAATGACGGCATTTTCTGAAAGCATGTGGAAATCAAACTCTGGAAATACTTTAATGTATAATTTAAAAGCATTTAAAGTCTCCTAAATAGACAAAAACACAATAAAATTTATAAAAATAAATAAATAAATCGAACTCTAGATCAAGACTATCAAATACCAAATTGTTGATTCATTTTTTAAAAATAGTTTTAGTAAAAAAAAATACTATTTAACGTTTTCTAAATAGACCATCAACACAAATATTTAACATGTAATTGAATAATTATGTTTTTAGAAAATATAATAATTTGATGAGGGTCAGTTTATAGACAAAACCTCAGACAGAGAGTTTACCCTTTAAATATGCATTTGCTTTTAGTACAGGAATAAAATGCAAATCTGTTGACTATTAAAATATGCAGAATTTCTCATTCTTATTTTAGAAACTTTAAATACTTCATTTTTATTACACATCCTTTATTTCATTTTTAAATGTAAAACTATTTTAGTTTTATTACACATTTAAAGAGGATACTTTTCATAACAAAATTTCTCAGAGATAGTTACAGCATGTTTCATTGCTTTTGGTACCACAATCTGGATGTGCAGACTACCCAATACTAAATTATATTTTAAATAGTTTTTAGGGCAAAAAATTTAAACGTCTCATAAATAGACTATCAAAACATCTTTTTTAATTAATTAAATAATAATAATAATAATAAACTGTGGATGTGCAAATTGTTTTTAAATAGATTTTATACTACTACTACTACTACTAATAATAATAATAATATTTAATGTCTCCTAAATAGACTATCAACACAGCTTTTTAATTAAATAATAATAATAAAAAATAATAATAATAATAATCTGTGGATGTGCAAATAGTTTTTAAATAGATTTTATACTACTACTACTACTATATTATATAATTAATTATATTGTATTATATTATATTATAAATTATATTATATAATTGATTAAATTATTATATTATTAATTATATTATATTGTATTATATTATATTTTATTATTAATTGTATTATAATATTTTTATTTATATTATATTATATTATTGATTATTTTATATTATATTATATTATAAATTATATTATATTATATTATAAATTATATTATTATATTTTAATTATATTACATTGTATTATATTATTAATTATATTATATTATTGATTATATTATATTATTAATTATATTATATTATATTATATTATATTATATTATATTATATTATATTATATTATATTATAGTATATTATATTATATATTATATATTATATTATATTATATTATATTATATTATATTATATTATATTATATTATATTATATTATATTATATTATAACATACCAACTCAATCTCAACTTTAACATCAGCCCAAAATTAGGTGCTTAACAGTAAAAACCTCCCTGACCGCAAAGAGGAAAACACCAAACAATACAGCCTCTAAATGTTGGTCCGAGGCCAAATTTCACATGCAAAAACAAACTTCACACACGAAAAAGGAAGAGCACCACCTAACACCAGGAACAGACGGCAGTTCTCCAGAACTGTTGCGTTTACTCGAGCATCATGGGAAATAATTCAAGAGCCCACAAACCTGCATTTCTTCATATTTGAGGAATCGCTCATCTCACTTCCTGCTATTATGTCTACAGTAATACGCTTGATTCATGCTCCTTTATATGCCGGTATCTCTCCTGAGGGTCTGTCTGTTTCAATAATGAGCTGTGATGAGGTGGGAGTTTATCAGTGTCTGAACTGAAAGTGGTCTAGACGGCTGTTTAAAAGCTCAACGACCCTTTACGTGCATTAAAAACAGCTGTAAAACACGTCTCTTAGCATGTGCTGGTGATCTCTCATGGCGGTGAGACCTCGTGAAAATACACTCTCAGACAGTGGAGAGAGAAAGAGAAATAGAAAAACATCAGCAAAATTCCCCTATTGGCAGCAGAAGTGATTCGCTCCTCCACACACTCCTACTAAATAACTGAAGATGAGTGTAATGCAATCTCTCCCTAAAGAGCAACGACACTCAGTTCAGCGCATGCATTACATTTTGATATGTAATAAATTAAGGAGAATATTTTATGTGGCTGAATTCACTGTGACATGATTAAATGAGCCAGGATTTTCGCATTTGGGTCACTAACAAAAATGTGTTATATTAAAACATATTATATTATAATAATCCCATTAAAAGTACTTTAGACAGTTGTGTGAAGGACATAGAATAAAAATGATCAAATCTTTCATCTGCATCAAATAAAATTGTCAAAAAAAAGTGCTCAAGATATGCACTTACCGGCCACTTTATTAGGTACATCTGTCTAACTGCTTAATGCAAATTTCTAATCAGCCAATCTCATTCAATGCATTTGGGCATGTTGACATGGTCAAGCTCAAGCTGAGCATCAGAACTGGGAAGAAAGATGATGAACGTGGCATGATTGTTGGTGCCAGACGGGCTGGTCTGAGTATTTCAGAAACTGCTGATCTACTGGGATTTTCACGCATAACAATCTCTAGGATTTACAGAGAATTGTCCGAAAAAGAGAAAATATCCAGAGTGCGGCAGTTCTGTGGGCGCAACTGCCTTGTTGATGGCAAAGGTCAGAGGAGAATGGCCAGACTGGTTCCAGCTGAAAGAAAGGCAACAGTAACTCATTCACTCTTTTCCACCGGGGTCTGCAGAAGGGCATCTCTGAATGCACGACACGTCCAACCTTGAGGCAGATGAGCTACAGCAGCAGAAAACCACACCAGGTGCCACTCCTGTCGGCTAAGAACAGGAACTGAGGCTACAATTCACACAGGCTCACCAAAATTAGACAATAGAAACATTGCCTGGTCTGATGAGTCTCGATTTCTGCTGCCACATTCGGATCATATGAATCAAATATGATCATCTATGCCACAAAGGATTAAGGCAGTTCTGAGGCAAAAGGGGTCCCGGTACTAATAAGGTGTACCTAATAAAGTGGCCGATAAGTCTATAAGTACACCTTTCAAATATCTATTTTGTAATGAATATTTTCTATTGAATGCCATCTACTATAATAGTTGTGCATATGCCTTAGTTTAATCAGTGCTGAATCAAAATCTGAAGCTAATCAAACAAAATAACTTATGATAACAGTGTGTGTATGACGTCAGACAGTGGCTCGGGGGTCTGTCAGATGGCAGAGATGGATTGGAGAAGCACTAAGAAAATCCAATGCTGATCTCCATATGAATCCACTCATGATAAAGCACCATAAAACCACTTAAAATGAACCAGTAAACTGCAAACCTAACCCACAATATCCCTGTATGGTAATAATAAACCCCTGTGGAATGAGGCTGGTTAGTATCTGCATTCAGCAGGTTGGCACAGACAGCAGCTGATGTGTGTATGTGTGTGCTTACTATGCTGGCATGGTGTATTTCTGGCACACGCGTGCACATATGCTTCGAGTAACAAGCCTGTCATGGATGTGTGTGTGTGTGTGTGTGTGTGTTTGTGTGTGTGTGTGTCTGTAAATACACACGAAACTGACCTATTCCAAGAATGCATCTGGCCCTGCCAAAACACATACTGTCTACACTAGAGGACCTGAGTCATGTGCATGCTTTTAAATTGTGTGTGTGTTTGTGTGTGTGTGTGTGTGTGTGTGTGTGTGTGTGTGTGTGTGTGTGTGTGTGTGTGTGTGTGTGTGTCACAGTATGAAATTGTGAAGCACTTTGGTCAACTTGTGTGGTTTTTAAAAGTGCTCTAGGATAAAATTTGTATTGCATTATGATTTGTATAATGGTGCTAGCATTAGTTTACTGTAAACGCTTGGATCAACTGCTAAAAATCAGATTTTGTTTTTGATTCGGCTGATCTTTGTTTGAACTTGTATACAAACTGCATTGCTACAATTATACAGTACAAAATGGGTAAACGTAGGGAAAACACACTCAGTCATCTCTCAGAAACTTTGAACGAAAATTTGGACCAGTTATTGCACCAGATGTAATGTAATGTGTGTGTATATATATATATATATATATATATATATATATATAGCGTTTTAATCATGTATGGCCCTACACCCAAAGCACTTCACAATCATGAAAGGGGTCTCTCTACACCACCACCAGTGTGCAGCATCCACTTGGATGATGCAACAGCAGCCATAGGACAATGGCACCAGTGCGTTCACCACACACCAGCTATTGGTAGAGTGGATTGATGGTGATAGAGCCAATTCGGTGGATGGGGATGATTAGGAGGCCATGATGGGTTAGGGCTGATGGAGGAAATTTGGCCAGGACACTGGGCTTACACTCTTTACAAGTGCCATGGGAGACATGACCTTGATTTAAAGTCTCATCCGAAAGACGGCACTCACTGACAGTATAGTGTCCCCTTTAAAATATCCCTAATGCTGCGTTCACACCAGACGCGGAACGCGCGTCAAGCGCGAGTGATTTACATGTTAGGTCAATGCAAACGCGCGAATAGACATCCTGCGGCGAGAATGGCGCGAAATGCACGAATGGAGCGTTTTGCGCGTTTGACATGCGTTTCGCACGAATCGGTCGAGTTCGAAAATCTGAACTTTATCGGACATTTGCGCTGCGTAAACCAATCATGAGCTTGCTCTTGTGGGGGCCAGATTGTGATGTTTCGATTGTGACGTATCGCCTGTTGTACTGTCTGCACAGGAAACCAAAGATAAACCGAAGATATTTTGCACTAATGAAACAAAAAGAAATAAACAAATGTTGACCTTTTTGCATTTCATACTTCTGGGATGTTTTAAGACTTGCATTTGGGCAGCTTTCATTATAACCCATGTTTAGCACATAGCTTGAATTTTTATGCATTTAAAAAAATACTATATGTATAATATATAAATACTATATAATAATACAATATGTGTGTTCATTTAATCTTATTTGGTTGCATTTGAAAGTAAAAAAAAAACTCATAGGAAAATACACTGATGTGTTTTCCACGTTTAGTGTCTGGCGACTGACCTTGGTCTTCTCTGCTGAAGCGTTTGTAGAGGGCGAATTTGGCAGGGTTGTCTGCGACGGTGAACTTCTTGAGCAGGGCTTCGATCACCTGTCGCACCGTGTTGCTGTTGCTGATGTGCAGGGTGTTGATGGAGCCGCGGGGCAGGTAAAAGGCCTCCTTTGCTTTGACTCCTCCTGCGCCTCCTCCTTTAACAGTAATGGGCCGCCGCAGGTCCATCTGCACGTTGATGAAGCCAGTGTATGTGCCACTGGAACTCTGCATTACACAGACAGAGAAAAGACGAAAGAGACATTGAGCACAAGGGGGAAAAAAACAAACATATGATGCATTTGAGGCAAGTTGATTTTGAAAATGATGCTGTTGTTGTTAATGCTGCGGCAATAATGTTTTGGCATGCATCATACAGCTTAATTTTTGTGGGTGCATCAGTGTACTCTGTCCACAAACATGAGAAAAAAAAGTTTAATTTTTAGCACATGATTGTAATTTAAACGTAAAGTATGTTAATTTGATCAAATTTAACAGTAATTTAGTTTTCAAGAGGCATTTCAAGACTCATTTCTTTAAGAATAATATAATCATCACCTGTAACTAAACACTAAAAGCATTAAAAGCATGTAGGTTGTTTGTAACAATAAGTCAACCAATTAAATAAAAACTAATATTACATTTATTTAGAAAATACATAAAAAAGTCAACTTTATTAATTTATCTATATTCCAAGGCAACTAAAGCTGACGTAACATTTAAAATAAAACTTATCAACTAAATATACTGATATTAAAACATTTTTTAAACTTATAAAGTATACTAAAACTACAATTAAATAAAATATATACACATTAAAGAGGCATTTTGGAGTGGCCTTTTATAGTGGCCAGCCTAAAGCACACGTGTGCAATAATCATGCAGTCTAATCAGCTTCTTGATGTGCCACACTTGTTGGGAGTATGGATTCAACCAAGGGGAAACGCTATGAATGAACAACACTTGAGAGAAATAGGCCTTTTGTGTACATAGAAAAGATTAAAATCTTTAAATTCAGCTCAGAAAAAATAGGAGCATACTCAAAAATGTTACTTTACTATTTTATATTAAGTATAGGAGCCAAATTAGATTTCATTTAATGATAATGTTTATTTGTTTGCCGATTAGTTTGGGTTTCACACTTGGGTATTATGTTTTGGTCACATGGACATACCTGGTACTTGCTAGAGCAAATAAAGCACGGTAACACAGGTGTTAGGAAGACAGAATGAGAGTGGGGCAGCCGTATTTTTTTGTTGACCACCACGGCACACACAACAACCCTATATTACTACACGCCACACTACAACGCAATAATCAGCCTTTAATGCCATACGCAACAGGTATTCAACCCACCGATTGCTGTTTGTTTTGTCATGTTTCAAGATTTTATAAAGTTTTGCTACTGACATCTTGGTCTCAGTGTGTCTGTCTCAGCCAGCAGCTCGTCACAAATCAAAAGGACCCTCACTGCCTCTCTAGCGACTATAGGAGGAATCAGGAAGTCACAATATTAAAGGTGTATGTGTCAAATGAACAGTAATTTAGTTTTCAAGATATATGATATAGATATAGATATATATATATATAGATAGATAGATAAATATATGAGCAATATTACACGAGTAGCAGTGCGAAATGGCTGTATACCGGCAATGGTGGGAAGCGTGCATTGCGGCCGAGTGCCTTAGTGCCAATATACAGCCATATCGCACTGCTACGAGTGTGGTGTTGCGTTTATACAACAGTTTGACAGCATAATTGTGTATATAAAACAAAATCAAACATGGAGAGTCTCAAAAACCCTTTTGTATGAGGAACTACTTTCTTCCGCGTTGGATTCAAATCATAAGCAGACAGTTAAACAGCTGAGCAAGCATCTGTTAAACTTTAGATCTGTAGTGTCTGCTTTTTGCTGGCTGTATGTGGGCGGAGTAATACACAAAGGGTAAAGAGGCTGTACGGGTGCTGATATTACTTAAATATATCACAGCTATAAGCCAATCAGACTGGAGAACCAGACAGAACTGTTGTATAAATATATATATATTGCATTTAAAGCACATTTGTAATTCTGAACCCCCATCATATAATGCTTGGATGTGTGGGAACTGTATGAAATGGAGCAAATAAAATATGCATTATTGCATTTGCTAACTATTTTCCTAAAGAGATGGCCTCCTGTCAAGGCTTTAATTCTTCAATAACGAGCCAAATTGCTATGATCAAGCTCACTCCTTTATTTCTCCACCTTATTGTCCACTTTTTTATTTATTTTTAAATATATTTTTATTATTATTTATTTTATTATAAAATTTTTTATATATTATAAAAAAATCTTTCCTCTTTTATATGTCCTAAGGATGTTTTTATTTTTAATTTTCTACATGTATTCACAACCATTATGATAGCTAGAAATTGAAAAAATAATAATAATAATAATTTTTACACTTTATTGTACTCTATTTAATATTGCATTCTTTGATAAAACTAACACACACTCCTTACTCCTCACTCCTTTGTGCCAAAAAACCCCACTCCTTTAATTACGCTTTCAACATTTTCTAAATAACTAGTAACGATAATAGTAAAACTATAGTTTGCTTGTAAACTCCCAGTTTTGTTTTCCTCAGCAGTGTGCATCACATCTATAAGTATTGTCTGGCAGTCCAGATGGAGCCCAGATTTGAGGCTCTTCTGTCTGTAAGCTCATTAGTCCACATGGCAGCCGTGACTTCAGGCTACGGTCGAGACACCGGGGTGTAATTACAGCTCACAAACCTCCTCTGAAACTCAATGCACTGACACACAACCACACTTTAAACTCGGTGATCCAGCACATGCTGTGGACTCCTAACCAGTTTAAGCTCACATACACATATGCAAAGTGTTTGTGCCACAAGAGGCTGCTGGGTTAAGTTCAGTCTAGTTTAGTCCTAAGTTCAGAGAACACTTTGCTCTTGAAATATTGTAAATATGTCCTAGAACTAGTGTGTAATCCAGCTCTGAGATAAGCTGCTGGTTTCTGGACAAAGGTACAGTGGTAAAGTCTGCTGTTTTGACATCGCTGTCTTTATGGCTGTCACGTGATGCATTAGAAGAAATGATGAAGGGATTATGATGGGAACAAGGATACAGCAATTTATTATTCCTTTTTCCAAATATTTCCCAAATGATGTTTAACGGAGGAAGGAATTTGTTTAAGTATTTTCTATAATATTTTTTCTTCTGGAGAAAGTCTCATTTGTTTTATTTCGGCGAGAATAAACGCAGTTTTTAATTATTTTAAAGCTATTTTAAGGTCAATATTATTTGCCCTTTTAAGCAATATTTATTGTGATTAAACGATGCTCTTTAGCTTTCAAAATATTTGCAATCCAAAGCATACACATGAATATATTTCATTTCCGAAGGCGCTGCTGTGTGCTGACATTTCTGACCTTGTTCGGTCATTAGATCTTTGGATTATGAAATGATTATTAGTGATTAGATTTATGCGTTTAAATAGTTGTTGTGGATGACGGAGGTCTACATGAACTCACCAGTGACATTTTGTAGAAGTCTCGTGAGTCTCTGTTGTACCGGTCCACCTTCTGTCTGATCTCCTCAAAAGTGAGATGAGTTCGCAGCTCCTTCTCTTTCTCCACATCCTGAAACCCAGCAGATGAATAAAGCATTTAGCCAGCAGAAAGGTCAGCACAGGTCTCGCCTGCAGCTCATTCTGACAGCAGAAGAGGTACGACTTCAATACTGCTGAATAATGAAGCTATTGAAAGAAAGGATTTCTTTGTTGGGAGCCTGTTTATGAAGCGCCAGCCTAAAATAGCCCTCTTAACTGGTGACATCCACGTGTAGCATAACATTAAGTACATATGCAGTGAAGCTAGAGGACAAATGCTTTCTTGACTGCTGTTTTCTCACTGCAGTCTTTTTTTTTGTTGTTTATTTTGTTATTGAGAGGACATCCCACAGCCAATGTTTGCATATTGATCTAAAAGTCTGTTTTGTAGCTACGAATATTATTTCAAACCCTAGTCATGTATTGAATATGTTGAACATTAGATTACATATTAGATTATAACCATCAAAATATAACAAAATGTAATTAAAACATTAGTCTTGGAGCTAAATGAGATCACTGTATAATTATGCCTTGTATCTTTATAGAGTATGTAGCATGCTGATATGCAAGGAAAAAATTCTGATCCAAGTGCGAAAAAGTTATATCTTATCATATTACATACTGTGATATATGACTGTAATAATACATAGTGGAAACTGGATAGCAACTATTCAGAACAACTAACATGCACCCAAAACCTAAAAACAATCTTACAAACCCAAAACCAACCCCCTAGCAACCACATAATATCCTTGCAACTAATCAGATTACTCAAGTTTCTGTTTTATCTAATACATTTTCGTTTTAAATTGCATACGTTTAGCTACGGTTACACCAGTGGTTCTCAAACTGTGGTACGTGTACCACTAGTGGTACGCAGGCTTCCTTCTAGTGGTACACGGAGGAATGAAATATGTCATGCACATGCTACACACATTTCAAAATTGAACAAAAATGATGTATATAATACGACATATATGACATATAGCCTATATTTATGAGATAATCTGCCACGTTTTTTTAACTGTGCAGAGTTGTAGCTGCTTTACTGGGCCTACTACACGACTGTATTTCAATACTGCTCATTTTGGTGGTACTTGGAGAGACAATTTATTTCTGAGGTGGTACTTGATGAAAAAAGTTTGAGAACCACTGGGTTACACCATTCACACTACGTCGGAGTTTTCGAGTGGTGAAAACTTTTTGAGCGCCGAAAACTTTTTGAAAATGCTGAAGATGCCGTATTGGTTTTAAAACGTTGCTGCTCTGTGTCAGTGTGGATGGGAAAAAACAGACATCTGAAAACTGAGGCTTGGAATCTGAATGGGGCTTTTCCCTCAATATTAAGTAGCCTACACAAAGTTCAGTTTTGCATCCTCTCCTTGTAAGTTCAGACTTCGCAAGTTTGATATGGCTAAGTTGTTTCACTTTCTTAACAATAAAATGAAAACATAAGGAACTGCCTATTTTCATTTTGATATTAGCAACTTAGACACTAAGAATGTTGGCGCATGCCAGAGTGTGTTTGTGTGTGGTCTTGTGATGTGCATTTTCAGCAGTATAGTGTGGACGGAGATCTGTTCAGAAACGCTAGGTGAAGCGCCAGTGTGGACGTGGATCGTTTTCATTTTAAAACGCATTAGTGTAAACAGGGCCCTAGTCAACAACTTTCATACCATTTCACACCTCAAGCTTCAAGTAACCCCATAGAAACTCTCTAGTAACCACACATAAACACCCCAGCAAAAATGTCAGCAACTTCAAACAGCTTCATGCCTCAAGCTATCCCCATTGCAAGACCCTAGCAACCACAGAGAACCCCCCTAGCAACCACATCAACATATTTCATTCAGTTTAACACTTCAAACTTTAAAAACTACTTCAATCATTCAGACTAAATCATTCATTAGGGTTTTCTCAAGCCTTGAAAGCTTGAGATGACAAACTTTAAGTCTAGTTTGTGTTTGTAATACAATGTTTAAATGCATAATTTTCCATAAGCCAGTGACACAACCAAGATAAGACATACAACCCTATTGTTATGGCTGCCATAGTGCACTTCCCTGATACAATGCAATCTTTAAAAGTTACCTCAACTATCAGAATATTGTATAAAGAGTGTACAGTGCACTGTGGTCTTACATGGTCATATCACAGAGAAGTTGATCTGCATTCATGAGCACTCGTTTAAAACAAAAGCTCAGAGCACCTTATAAGGGAACAGTCCTGTGCTGAAGTGACACAATGTTGATAGACAAGGAGCTTCCCAGCTAACATACTCCAGAGGCTAAATATTGTGAACTGTTACAGACTGTCGTAATTCCCCTCAAGCACGGGCCAAAGCTGCTTGGCGTGTTTGCAATTACAGGTGGTTTTACGCTGGAACTTTAAAGTGCATGACTCACATTGTTTTCATACAAAGAAAGCATCTACTTAAAGGCTAAACACCTTTTGGAATTGCTGCGTTTGTAATGAAGCTTGGGAAATAAACATTTCCGCTATAGAGCATGTGCAAATCAAAATCAACTATCTAATTCTTCTTTCTTCAATCCCCCAAAAAAGTGATGTAGAGCATAACACAATAAATGAAGAAGCATCTTAACCAATACAGATGGATCAGTTGGAAACAGGGTCTTAGATTTCTCTAGGACGTAAAAAGCTTCAAGGGGTGCATCAAAGGCACATAGGTTCACGTTGTGTTAACATCTCTAAACATTTGATTCTAAACAACTTTGAGGGATACGGACACCGTCTGCGATGTTAGATGTTTGTTCTTGTTGCTCAGGGAACGGACGCACGCAATACGCGCAGTACGTCGAATGCGGTAAGCAAGAGCGACTCCCTTCAGATCAACATGCATGATCGCGTTCACCAAATTTGCTTAAACTAAACATTCGAAAGTATGGCTATATTTTACAAGCAAGGATTCTGACACATGCAGCAGATGCTTTACGTGTTAAGAGGGGAAACACGTCAAACTTAATGAAACATTTGAGGGCACATGGACTCAACTTAAATGCAGAGGAATGTACTGTCTTTGACAGCCTGCGACATCACACTGATTGAAAGTGCCAGATGTTTACATGGACAACAACACTCCGCTTTTAATATGATTAAGACAATACCCTGATTAAGAGTCTACCGTGTAAACAGAACGTTTTGATTACCTTAAAGGTCCACAGACACTTGCATCACAAAATGCGGAGGTTTTTTCTTTCCATTCGGCGTGCGGTATAAAAATCCCATTGAAACAACACTCATCCACCGGTCTTTACTCGCATCAAATACTTCTGTTTGCCATGGGGTGGGGGGATCGGGTGGTGGGAGTGTTTATGAATTAAATGTTCGTAAATGAAAGTGAAACTTCCGAACTGCAGTTTAAGTCAACAAATTAAGAATTAAACACCCGAAATTACATGAAACTCCAGAGGAAACGTGGATAGTGTGATGACGCAATAACGTTAATCAATCTATGTACTATATGTTAGACGGGATCATGAAAGGAACATTCAAAAAGCAACCCATGTAAACACCTTCATCATATTATTGTCTTATTCAATTAAGGAAAATAATTCGATTACTGATGTCCATCAGTCACAAGCCTGTGAACAAAGGAGTTCAGTATTTTGATGACAGTCTTTCCACAGGTTAGAAGTAAGCTAATGTAATCGCATACTGCAAATCTTAAATTCATGTTAACAAACAAATGATCAAAAGAAATATATGAATGCAATTCATATATACAAAATATGAATTAATGTTTACTTTAATTATATTGTTCAATTAAAACTATAAAAAAAAACTATCAACTATCAAATAAAAGTTTTTCTAGAGTCATCCACCATAATTTTGTGGCTCAAAAGTATCGATTCAGGCACCGTTTTGGCCATTTTAAATGTATTAATTTAGCACCGGTATCGAAATAACCTCAAACGATACCCAACCCTTCTTCAGACATGAAAACCAAGAGTCATTAGCTTAATTGCTTCTTCAAGCTGACAAGCATAAATGCAAATGGCAAACAAAACTTCCCAGACTATCCTTAAAGGTTTCTGTCACATGTTAAGATCAGACCAATTAACTCACAATAGATGAAGTCATGCCTACAAGTCAAGAGCCCATTAAGTCCTATTGACCACAACAAAAGCTGGTAAGAGCTTCATAAACGAGGGGTTGAGAGAGTCTCAGCGTGGCCTGTTGAGCGTGTGTAAAGGATTGTAGCTCACCACATCAGCTTGTGCCGCCTATGCATTCAGTGATGTGGTCTACATCAGCTCTTTGTTGGTTGTTCATTAGCCAAGGCAAGCCGTGCATGTCGGTCATGTAAAGTTTGATTGGTAACCACAGAGTTATGAGAGCATTCACGTCATGCTTGTTCCCAGAGCCCCAACATGTAGTCCTACAGGTTTTGATGTTGATTTGTCTAGCTGAACTGGTTTTCAAGGTACTGGCAGCTAGATTTATGCAACTCTCACATGGTCAATGGGACTGGGATGATAAATTGATGAATTGCGAATCTAGAAATGATTCTACAGCGATTCTGAAATTTTGGCCAATTTTGTTTAATCAATTCACCTGTACTACATGTGTTTGGACTGTGGGGGAATCCGGAGCACCTGGACGAAACCCACACCAACATGGGGAGAACATGCAAACTCCACACAGATATGCTAATTAGTCCAGCCAGGATTTGAACCAGCGACGTTCTTTAAATTGATACAATGTCCTCCAAAAATCTAAGAATCAATCCATGAATCATAATACATTGATTTATTGCCCTAATGGTCACACAGTAAACCAAAGCAGGGTTGTGTCTGGTTGGTAACTAAATAGGAGACCACATGGGAAAACTCAGTTGCTACTGGAAGAGGTGCTAGTGAGGCCAGGGGGGTCCTAGACACTTAGGGCGTACTCACACCATGCTATCCGAACCGTGCCCAGGCCTGTTTCCCGGATCATTTCAGAAGTGTGAGTGCGCCAAATTGGGCTCAGACACGGTTCACTTGGCCGGCCCTGGCCCGGTTGGAA